AAAACTCGTGTGTAATTTACATTTCACATAAAGTCAAGTGTTTGACAATAGAATTTCAAACTTGGCCTTCGAGATGGATTGGGAGGGACACCAAAAATCTGGGAAAATGCTGGATGTTGTCTGGTTAGAGACGATGCTGGCCCTCATTCCGTGCTGTTTGCTGTAAAAGATCTAATGTACTTTTGCAGGGAAGACAGGACATAGTAGTTCCCTCCTGCTTTTTAAAAAATCATAGCTCTGTGTTTCTGTGCAATGCATCTTCTGACTCCCCAAGAGATGGTTGTGAACTGAAAAGCCTGAGCTGCGGAATTCTGCTGGGTGCAGGGGAAGCCTCGTGACTGAAGCAGTTACATGCAATCCAGCATTAAGTGGGCTTTGATTGTAACAAGAGCAGTTAATCCATAATTTACCTGAGCCTTGGAGGTGTGGTTCCCAGTCATGGCATAGATGCCTGTGACAAGCGACTTAATTGTGTTGGGAGTTTGTAAGCAGTTGATCAGAGTGCCTGAAAGCATGGAGAGTGTCACAAGAAGTATTGGCTTACATTTCGTTTTTAAGAGATGACACAATCCATTTATTTTTCCTCACACATATGCATTTGGGCAAGACATGGTGAATGAGCAGTGGCATCAGTCGGCTTCGGTAGTAGCTTACAGAGGGGTATTGGAAAAGGTATTTCACTCTGTTTTTTCTTTTCTTAATGTGATTTTAAGTTTCCAGTGGTCATGAACAGAAGGTGCTTGGCAGTCTGTGCAGATCTGATATTTGAATTGTTCATCAAAGATGGGGTTTGTAGAAGGCCATTTTTTTGTCAAGACCATTCTCTGTTTTCAGTGCTAGTATTTTACTGTGAGTCTCTATAGCATTACTTATATTCTTCCTGATATCTTTAATGGATAAGGATACTTCATACAAAATCATATTCTTTGTTTCAGAGCCTGATTTATTTAGAGTAAGCACAACAGGGTTCAGTGAGGAAGATCATATATTGCATTTCCATAGAGTGCTCGCAGAAGGAGTTTGGGTTTAAATCATAGAAGGCTTTTGGTGAAGTATTTTAAAATAAATTCTGAGAGGTTAATTTTTCTTGGACATACTCTTCTAAGATAATTTCCAAATAGGACTCAGAAGTCTGAAAAACAAATATAATGTGCAAACTATATCTTTGCTATCATTGTTTCTTGGTGTATTAGTGCTTTGGGGGAGCAAAGCATCCATATTTCTCAAGACTTTTTGTAGAATTTAGCTTTTAAAGGTTTTATAGATGGCAGTGGGTCTGCAGAGCTGAGCTCTTTTTATGTGTCTCATCCTCTGTCAGGGAGGAGGTATGCAATAAAAAATAAACAAGCCACAAAACCAAAAAGACTGGGGGGGAGCATAACTGGGACAGGTGACTCAAACTGACCAAAGGGATGTTCCACACCATAGAATTGTTTTATAAACTGGGGGAGTTACCCAGAAAGGGAGCTGATCTGGGTTTGGGAAGCAGGGTCTGGAGCTGGTCAGTGGGTGGTGAGCAGTTGTATTGTGCATCACTTGTTTGAGTTTTTCCTTTATATTATCATTAGTGTTACTATTATTTACCATTATTATTGTATTTCAATTTATTTTCAATTATTAAACTGTTCTTATCTCAACATACAAGTTTTACTTTGATTCTACTCCCCATTCCACCAGGTTTGGGGGGGAAGACAGGGGAGGAGGAGTTGAGCAAGTGGCTGAGTAGTGTTTAATTTCCAGCTGGGCTTAAAACCACAACATGACTAAAGAACAAGGTCTTTTGTTCCAGATTTAAGCCCCATTTCTAAAGCATGAAATATGTAATAGATGTTCTCAATGAAATGGTAATGATTAGGTTGAGACAATGATGACATAAACAGACACATTTCATTGATGTAATTTACTCAAAGTGCTGTACTGCTTGTGGTTGAAGCTAAAAATTTCCGGCAGCAAAACGAAATTTTAAGTTCAGACCAAGCAGTCTGACCATGGTAAGGCTAAAACTCATTTGTACTTTTGTGCTCTCTTTGCTAAAAATTATTTTTAATAAATCTCACTGTCACACAGTAACTACTGTGGAATGCTCTGAGTGGTGGGGAGTTTCCCACTTCTGTGTGGCTCTGGGAGCTGCACTTGGTTATAGCTCAGCTCTGCAAGGCCTTGTTCCCTTGTGTGCTAAAGACACTTGGCCCAGGTGAGTCTGGTTGTGAGGAGTGATGTTTCTGGATGGGAATATCTTATAAGCCTAGCCTTGGCATGCTCATTTTTCAGGTATTTTCAATTTGTATGCTATTACAGGTGATGTTAAAATAAAGTTGAAGGGTTGTCCTTTATATAAGGTAAGAAGTAGAGCTACTTTGTGGTGATAGCTACTTTGGGGCTATTTTCAATTTGTATGATATTACAGGTGATGTTAAAATAAAGTTGAAGGGTTGTCCTTTATATAAGGTAAGAAGTAGAGCTACTTTGGGGTGATGGAAAGATTGACCACTCTGCTTCATGGGCTAACTGGAAATTCAGGTGGTTCTTGCCAAGAGGGGTGAGTGTGTGCTGTGGAGCAAACTAGGTGTTGTTCTCTGGACACAGTTAGTAAAGGAGCAGCATTTATTTGTTTTTCAAATAAATGTTGGAAAGAGATGGCCATGAGGAGAAGCTGGCTATCTAAACCCTGGAGGCATGTGTGCTGCTCTTTGTGTAGATGGCCTAGTTCGTAGCCTTAAGGCTGACTGCTGAAGTAGAATTTACTTGATTTGTCAGAAAACTGTTTGTGTCCCCTGAGCTTTTTTCTACAATGAAAGAAATACAGATTGAGTATCCTCATATGTTGCCCTCTGCGAGTATTTTACTGTTGTAAGACCCTGCTTTGCCACACGTGAAGAAATGAAGAATGACTTAGAGCTAAAGATTGTGATGATTCCAAGTGTCTGCAAGAAATCCTCAATTGCACTGTTAATCACAAGTATGGATAGGCAATTCTTCGGAAGTCTTAGCTGAGTTTTGGAGTCCCTTGAGGTTTCAAGAGTTATCTTCTTATTGATTAAATCTTTACCTGTACTGTAAACTGTAGAAATCTGAAGCAGAGAAATTTGTTGTGGCATGGTGATGGGGTGGTTAGTACTTACAACAGTGAGAAGAAACCCAGAATAAGTTCATGCTCCAGGGGGTTTGTGCTCTAAAAACAGAGATACAGTTCGCATACATAAGGGATGATCAGAAGACTTGCTGCTAAGCAGTGTAGTTAGAATACTGATGCCTTTAATAGCATTTTTCATCTAGTGGTTAAGAAGTAGTGGGTTTGATTGGAAATACTTCACTTTTACATTCTGTCAGTGGCTTAAAAAGTAGTTTGTAAAGCACTTACCTCAGATAAGATTTGAGAAATATATTTTCTGGTAATTAAAGCAGTCATTGCACTTCCCCTGTTTCATACTTTTCCCTTCCATTGTTCTTTGGAATTGTGCCCTGTTAGTGCTTCTCATAATTCTGGCTCTGTACCTGTAACACATAAAACTAAAATGCCTTTTAAGTGGCATAAATAATTTTACATTTTGTTTTGGTGTGTACATATAGTGCTTGAAAAAAAAAAAGGATGCTTGCAGTCTCAATGCTTTCACTCTTGACATTCAGATTTTAATACAGGCCTGTTATGTACCTGAGGAGTTCTATACAGAAGGCAGCAGTGAACAGTCTGTTCTGAACCAAGACACATTAACAGCAAATACAAGACCCTTGAATCTGTGGGTTTGAGTACCCTCGGTCAACTTGCTCTCCTGGCCACCCATATGAGATGCAGTTGTAGAACATGATGAAGTAACACTGATGTTCCAGGTCACCAGCAGCTATTTCAATACCTGTTTAGCACAGAGACTTTTTAATTAATATTTACTGGATGATTTCCAAGAACAGCTAAGAATTTTTGCAGTAGGCATAACCGGTCTGGTACTGTCAAATTGAAAAGGGTACACAAAGATATTGGGCTCTGAGATTGTTTATTACTCTTCTGGTTATAAAACTGAATTTGTAAGAAGAGAATTCAACCTGTCACAACTTACTGCAGGGATATTTTCTATTTCATTTTATGGCCCTTTGAGGATTTGGTTTCTTATTACAGTAATACAGTTAATTAGTTGCAATGTCTCCCTAAAACCAAGTCACAGTTACTGTTTGCTTTACTGAACATTAAGCTGGTGCAGTGCAGCAGTGGAGGAAAAAACCCATAGAGGATGAATATGCCCTTTATTTAAATTGCACGCACCTGTAGTTGACAGATATTGACATTAAGTAAGCTTTGAGATGACTGATAATCATGTTTACATGCTTGTAAAAACTTAACTCTCTGGAGGCAAGTGTAATGGCTGGGGATCTGCTGCCATGATTTGCTTTGTATGAGGGTGGTGTTTCATGGTATAGGTTTGTTGAAAGATACTGAGGCTTACACACAGAGCAACACAGGTCTTGTGGTCCAGCAAAGGCAGCTGTTCATCTTTGATCTCAGAGGTCCCAACCAATAAAACTTCAAGTGGTTTTAATAAATGAGCAAGTGCCTATCCATCAGTTTTGCCATGGCAACTGTTTTTAGCCCATGATGAATATGACAGTTTAAAGTAGCTGCACTGCGTGAAGGAAAAGGATATCCTTGTGTCTAAGTTAGAGTACAACCTACAGGCTGGCAATAAGCTGATTGAAAAATATGGTGAGGAGTCTTGAATAGGATGCAGGCTTCCTTTCTCCTCTCTCTGGTTACCTGTAAAAACTTTCTTCCTTCTGGTTAGCCCTTGGGCAGCAGCGTGGTTTTGAACTAGTGTCAACTTCTTATCATACTATACCTAATGCACTAAAAGATAATAATCTAGGTAGTTTCAGATTGATTTGTGTTGATACTATGTTAAAAATTACCAATGCATATGCACTGTTTCAGTGTAGGTAAGAAAAATACCTGCCACATTCTTTAACACAATGCTCTTTCTCAAATCCATCTTTGCACTCTGTGTTTCCTGCAGGTGTTCCGCAAGGATCTCATTAGTGCCATGAAACTCCCAGATTCTCACCATGTCAACCCTGACGAGTATTACGTCTTTGCGGACACATGGAAGCAAGAATGGGAGAAAGGGGTTCAGGTTCCAGCCAGTCCAGAAACTATTCCGCAGCCTTCTCTCAGGTATTGGTGATCAGACATGGATCACGTGTACAAGATGGCAACTCAGAGAAGATGGTCTCTCAAAAGCAAATTGTCTAAGTGCAGTCAGATTTTCTCTGTTGGTGTGTTTAAATCTTCAGTGTAGCAGCCTTCAGACATGTTCTTAAACCACACAAGTGCCAATTTGGAAAACATTTCTGTGGTGCTTCAGTCCAGATCTCATTCTGTCTGCACGCTGTTAGAGTATCTACATTGCGAGTGTAAAGAGATCTTTTTTCCTCAGGCACATGGTGCTGTGGATTAAAAGCTGTTTTTTATTTGAGCATGGGGAGTTGAATAAATTAAAAATAAACCCATATCTTATGCATATTACTTGAAAGGTTTCCCTACACTGCATGATGATATAGAGCACTAGACATGCAGTAATCACTGATACCTGATAAAATTGCACATTTGTTTATATAATCTAATTTTGGTTATTCTCAATGTTTTAGCTTTTTCTACCTTCTCTCACCACAGTTGGCTGTTTAACGTTATGGAAGTTCAGTGATCTCAGATTCTGACTCTCACACTGTGTTTAGGCTAGGGAAACATAGCACTGTAGTCCTGCAGCCCTTCCTGGTGGAAACAAAGCACGTTTGAACACAGAAAGGTTAATGCCAGCATGCTGTTCAAGACTAAGATAAATTAATTGTGTGGTGAAAGTGCTGAGTCAGCATAATTTAATTTCCACTGATGCTGTTGTCACTAACAAGTTATTAAAAACAAGTATATTGCAGCTCAGATCAGCAGTATTATATTGGAGGAAAAAAAAAGGACCAGAAAAAAGAAAAGCTCACAAGAGAATTAGAGGAAAAAATGAGCAGGATAAAGGGGGATGAAGAATGGCAGAAGGACATTGTTTGTGCTAACATTGATAATCCACATTGTCCAGTCAGAATTATGTGGGCTACAGCTTGACAGCTGCCTCCTCCTTCTTTGCTGCCTTATTGTCTAGAGTTTTTATATTTTCCTTGTCCTGTGGAAGGTGAGCTCCAGAAAGCATGTAGAGCTGCTCATGCATGGCACGGTTCCATTCTGTGTGTCTCTGGCTTCCTTCCTCATGTAGGGCTTTTTTGCATTGAATTCAGAGAAAGATTGAACTTTATCTAATTAAGATTATTCTTTCCATTCCAAAATCAAACCAGTTAAACACAGAGTTTTATCTCTGAAAATACTTGAAAGAAACAACAGAAGGAACACAAATCTTTTTCTCCATTGCTTCTTGGATTACTTTTCCCCTTTACATTTTTGCTTGGCATCAGATTGTTTCTTGCATAACAAAAATAATGTATTTGTAATGTGGATAAGGTGTCATTTACAAAATAAACGTTGACTGAGTATCCCAAATGGAGAGCAAGGATTTTGCCCCCCCCCCCCCCCCCCCCACACACACAGACACTACAGTAGAGTTACTACAGTAAGCTTTCATGGAAAAGCTGGTGTTTTCAAGACATCAGTTGGCAAGATTTCCTTATATCATTTAGGGAGAATATAGATTGTATTGGTTTTGTGCATAATACTTTGTGGGTTTCAGAAACAGTTGCTCTGTCATACCAGTAGCATTTGTTAAACGGAAGTCATATGGACAGGCTTACATTTTAAAAAGGGTTCTGTATATGTAGTAAACCTTAGAACATTTTGGGTGAAAAAATGACATTTACAGAATCCTGTCTCCCTAGGCTGACTATACTTGCTGGCTAGTTTAAAATCTGTGAAACCCCAGCTTTCTTTGCACTTACAGCAAATATTTTATGTCTTTCAAGGATGGGTCTTAAAAAGCTGTAAGTATTTATTTTTTTCTTTTCACTCACAGGGTTGTAGCAGAAAAGGTAAAAGAAGTACTGTATACACGACCCAGAAAATACATCCACTGTTCCAGCCAAGAACCCACAGAACCAGGTTACATCAACATTTTGGAACTAGCAGAGTCTGTGTGTCGCTATGACTTGGATGACATGGACATCTTTTGGCTCCAGGAGCTAAATGAAGAGCTTACAGAAATGGGTAATTCCACAACATGTTCTCATTTTAAAAACTGCACTTAATTTCTGCTGTTGGGGTTGTCTGCTGTATAAGGTCTCTGAAAGATTGGTGAATGAGAATTGAATGGTAATGCTAAGAGAAACAGGAGCTAAAAAAGTAATTACTTTCTTGATCTGTTAATGTTTTATGTTTTACTTGTTGTGCCTAAAAATTTCTTGATATCCAAAATCATCTGCAACTTCTGCAGAATGAGGCAGGAGAGAAAAAGCCCACACCAGGTGGAATTAATTTCAGGACTTCAAAAGTCAAAGATTTTATGTAGGGAAGGCAGATGTTTCCATTTCTTGAACTTGGAACATATCTGCAAATTCTGAGTTCTGAGGAACTTGCATGCTGGGTTCTCAACAGAGTAATTAAGTTTCACACATGTTAGCCCATTCAAAATCAGCTAAGTAAACTTTCTTTTGCCATGCAAGTTGTGGGTATAGAGATCTATGAGCAGGAGTGAGCTATGGAAAATATTGGAATTATCACTGGAATAACTGAATTGTGGTGGAATAGCCTGTGTGGCTATTCTTCCATGGGCTATTCTTCCATGGTAGGTCCTTTAGGAAGGACACATTGGCATCTCCTGCATTTGCTGTTAATAAAATAAGAAGTACCTATAGAGAAGTGATAATCGATGGCCGCATTGTCTGTAACAGCAGTGAAATAGTGGTGACTGAGATCCAGAGAGGAGTGAGGAGGGGAAGTAGTTTTTCTGGTCCTGGACTTCAGGACAGCATGTTTCTACTTAGGGTGGGATCTGGGAGGCAGCTCTGAAGGGTGGAGTTACTGAAGAGAGCTAGCAGGGCTTCAAGAACACTGTCCTCCAAGCACAAGAAAGTTCAATTATGCATTCTGAAAAATGAGTAGTTGGGAGACTGGTTTGGTGAAGGAGGGAGTTCATGACTGAGCTCCAGTGCAAAAGGATGCACATAAGTAGAAGCAGGGACAAATAACTTCCTGGGCATACAGGCATGCTGTAGGCAAAAGCTGTTAGCTTTTCAAGGGGGCAGATCTCCATCCATGGAGATTTTCAAGATATGACTCCACGTATCTGCTAAGCAGCAGCCTTTGTGGACTTCCTATTGACTCTGCTTGGAGCCCAGGCAGAGGCTGAAGCCCTCTGTAGGACCCTTCCCACCTGAATGATTCAGGAATTCATTTAATTCAGGCAATGAGAAATATTAGGGCATGGGAGAGAACACTTTAACTCTCCCTGTTTATTGTTTGTAACGAGGAATCACAATTAGTAGCCTTAGTTAAAATATTAGCCTCTGCAATTAATGTTAATGTGAATATCCCAACATCTGAAGGCCTGAGTCAATCATAAGCTGTGAACATCATGATCATTTTTGAGCAAGGATTTTGATGAGATGCAATTTGGAGATATCTTGTAGCTGTGAACATCATGGAGTTTCAGTGCATGTGCTGAAGCTGCAGGCTGAGGGCCAATCTCTTGGCAAATACTTTTAAAGTGGTCCTGCTTATGTTGAGTTTGATTAGTGGTGAGTACATATAGCATGTGTAGTGTTCACGTGAACAGAGATAGCATGGATTACAAGAGTATATTTGTCTCTTGTCTTATTTAAAAAAAAAAAAATCAGAAAAATAAAACCAGTTTTCATCATCATCATGTTTTGATCACCTCATCACAATGGACTTAGAGGTACTGGGTGGTGCAACTTTCATTACAAGATAAGAAGTATTCTTGATAAGTTTTATTTCCTAGGGCATTAGTCTACAGAAGAACACTGTGATTTTTGAATTAAAAAAAAAAAAATCAGAAAAATAAAACCAGTTTTCATCATCATCATGTTTTGATCACAATGGACTTAGAGGTACTGGGTGGTGCAACTTTCATTACAAGATAAGAAGTATTCTTGATAAGTTTTATTTCCTAGGGCATTAGTCTACAGAAGAACACACTGTGTGATTTTTGGATTTCATTAGTGTTTAGTAAAATTACAGGGGTACAGGAAGAGTTGTGTGAGAGCAGCCAGCAGTTACAGCAACTGCTGTTTTTTATGCTGCAGTGCTTTCTTCCAGGTGCAGCCTTGTGGTTTGTGTAAAATTTTTACTCAAGTAGTAGTTCTGCTTGTATTTATAAAACAATGTTATAATTAGTCTGTGAGTGAAAAATCTTGTCTATTTTTATTTTATTTTTAGATGCTGTGTCTACTGCATTAGTTGCTAGAAGTTGTCTTTTTTCTCTTCCTGCTTCTCTGACTCAGAAGCATCTGACTGTCCTCTAATTACCCTTCCCTTTCTCTGTTGTAGGATGTGGGCTCCTGGATGAAAACACGATGGAAAAGACAATTGAAGTGCTGGAGCGGCACTGTCATGAGAACATGAATCACGCCATCGAGACCGAGGAGGGGCTGGGTATCGAATACGATGAGGACGTCATCTGTGATGTGTGCCGGTCCCCGGACAGCGAAGATGGGAATGACATGGTGTTCTGTGACAAGTGTAACATTTGTGTCCATCAGGTTAGTGCCTGCGGAAACGTTGACACTCTCCTGTGGTTTAAGTTTACCCAGGCAAATGTGGAATTAGAATGGAAGTTAAATGCTAAGTGGAGGACTTTGCGGTTTTCAGGCAATCAGAAAGTACTAGGGCATGGGAGAGAACACTTTAACTCTCCGTTTATTGCTTGTAACAAGGAATCACAATTACTAGCCACACATATGAAGGGTGGTGCGATACTGAGGTGAATTTTTGGACTATAACAATTGCAGTAGATTAAGTGGCCTAGCATAGTTTCTAAGTGGACAGCTACAGTCTAGCAGGAATGCAAAGTGTGTTTTTGGGACATGCAAGTATTTCCTCTGTGACTGTAAATAATTGTTCCCCCTATTACTAAATCTGCTTTTGAAGATAAACAGGACAGGAAATAACTGGCTGGCCTGTTTGTGAGAAATCTAAAGATCATTTGTTTCAGAGCTTTTTTTTTTTTTCCTTTACTGACTACTTATTTAGTCAGACGTAGACTGCCCAAATTTAGCCATCTGGAATGGTATGTAGGCACTTAATAGAGTGATCTTTTTCAGAAACCATCAGCACCTGCAAAAACCATGGTCTCAGTCTGAATGGTGCTCATGTTTGTAGTGTTTCAGATGCAGTCAAGACTTTACACTGCCTGAGCTCAGCATAGTCAGGTAAAGATATCCTTATAATCAGAAAAGGGATGTGAATCCTGTAGTTTTTGTGCATCCTGTTCTGGAAGAGAATTTTGCTACAATTTAAAAAGGGACCAAGAAAGTTATTTTTTCTTTAAATGCATTTTTGTACTGATTGCAAGTAATATTTGGAGAACATATCTGACTGAAAAAAGATCTGTCACCTCCCTGCTTACAGTGGGCTGGCTTCCAGCCTGGCTGCTTTCCTGACCTGAGTCCCCGTGTGAAGCAGCCTGTGAGCCCGAGTTGGCAGTAAGGTGGCCAGTGACAGTAACATGGCTGGCAGCTGGGCTGCCTGCTCCAGTCCTTGCTTCTCCCTGTTAAGGAGTAATGATGGATTTGCAGTCAAAGGCTCATGGTTGTCTCCTGACAGCTGAGCTTGAGTTGATGGTCTGCTGCCTCCTTGCCCCTCACTCTTCCCTGTGCTGGATCTGCCTGAAACAAACTGGAGTGTCTGGGCTAGAGTGAATCCTATCTATAACAGGGCTAGAGCAAATCCTAACTATAACAACAACTTGTTTCATTTTTAATCTGGATCATTTTGGTTCAACAAGTAGTCTCAGGTCTGTTTGTCATCGCAAGTTTGGAGGTGGAGGGGAGGAGGAGTGTGAGAAAATTCCTCCTTCGTTGGTACCCTGTTCTGCTGGCTCAAACACATTGTGAAATTACTGTTTTAGTAGTCTAGGCATCCTTTGCTTATCAGTTAAAATTAGAAAATAGTTTCAGTCAATTTCCAACACCCTAGATATGATCTTAAATGTAATGCCACTTCTGGTCTAGTAACAGAAAGAATTCTGGTGGGAATATACCACAGAGGGGGAAAAGAACACTTGTAAAATTTGGATTGCAGCTCCCCCTGTTGGGCTTTTACAGGAGTTGTCATATGAAAAAAACCCATTTAGGTTAGTCAGTCCTGCCACATTAAATTCAGGGAAGTCCCCCTCCCTACAACCTTGACATAAATGTGCAGTGTTTTATGATATTGTTTAATATTAATTACTGAAATCTTATAAGCAGAAGTCTGGGAAGGCAAGTGTGGGAATTTTGTACTAGATTTAATCTGAAAGAGTGTTTTCAACTATTGATCCCATTCTTTTGAGTCTTCTAATGTTATCATTACCAGAGATAGTGTTAGAAATCATGAGATTTCCTGTGATATCCACCCTGTTGATAAGTTTTATTTGGAGTGGTTGAGTGAAATTAGACCTTGGTGGCAGCCAGTGATTTCAGATACGCTCATCTTCATGGAGGTAGGGGGGATGTGTATGTACAGCAGGATCCACCATTGGCTCCATTAAGAACCACAAGGAATCGGAACTGGAAACTAAACTATTTATTTTACTTTTTTATTTTAATTCTCAAACCTAGCAAAACTTAAGAAATCTCTTGTTTTCCATGTGGTTAAGTACAATACTTGGGAAATAGGTGTAAACCCCAGCATCTTATAATTTGTTGCAATATTATATAACTATTTAAAGAAAAGTTCACAGAACTGTAACCCCAAACATTGCAGGAAATGATTTTCAGTCAAACATCTCACATCCCTATCCCTAAATAGAATTATGTTAGAGCATTACATTTTTAGCAGTAGGAAATTGTGATTTTAGAAAGTATTAGATACAAAATCTAATTTAAAGGAATATACATGTTTACTTCAGAAGTTTAAAAGTCACTAAAGGCAAAGGTGAAGGTTTGTAACGCTAGTGCTGTTGTGCAGTCCCAGTGGATATGTTTTATAACTAGGTGTAAAAACTATTGCTTTTTGAGGCTGTTTGTCCTTGGATTAATTGACTCATTTTAAGGTAAAGAAATCACAGAAAGATTAAGTGAAAGCCAGATTGTGCCTTTACTTTTTGAAAGCTTTGCTCTGTGTGATTATGAATGCTTGTGTGTGAAATAATTTCAGCACAATTATTCCAATACCTCTTTTTCTCCAAGGCTTGCTATGGAATCTTAAAAGTACCTGAAGGGAGCTGGCTGTGTCGCACCTGTGTCCTGGGAATACATCCTCAGTGCCTCCTCTGTCCTAAAAGAGGAGGTGCCATGAAAGCTACCAGGACAGGGACCAAGTGGGCACATGTGAGCTGTGCTCTTTGGATTCCAGAGGTAAAACCATAATTTCTCTCCTGTCTTTCTCTTCTTGTTCCATCCTCTGCCTTTTTGCATTCTCATGATTTTTATCTCCATGTTATATACACTTTATAAGTAAAGGCTTTTTTGATTTATCTGTGCATAACATATATGGAGAGTTTCATAATGAAGTTTTACACTTCCTCCTCCATTTTCAATAAAGTTTAGCATCACAGTGTAGTTCTATAAAACAGAAAGTTCTGTTAGGTATAGATGGAGTTTGTGTTTAATTTTGCACTTGGGATATTTGTGTTTTGTTTCTGGTAAGATTCACAAATCCATTATGGTGGGTGGTTTAATGTGAGACAGTAGCCAGATCTGTCAGCACCATAAAATCAAGGATACAGTGTTTTCTGAGTGTTCTGCTCCCAAGTGCAGACAGGTGTGATGTGTGCACAGCTTTGAGGAAGATGTTAAGATTTTGGTTTGGTTTAATTTGACTTAGTAACCGGATATAATGTGTAATTCTTAGCTGTCTCAGGCATATATATATCTGCTTCTTAAGGAGATTATCTTTGCAGCTGCACTTTTCCTTTCAGGCCTACTTGTAGTTTCTGTTATCTCTTTTCATCTTTAAGGAGGGAGGAGTTGAGGAAAAAACCCAAAAATATTTATTTTTTAAAAAAATCACTTTACTCCTGTGCTTATGAAGTGTCTTACCTGGAAGCTCTCCTGGCTCTGAGCTGACTGATTTTTCTAAGAGATCTGTTCTGCATGTGGTTGCTTTGCTGTTCTCATCAGCAGAAGAGGAACGGTGAGGTTTGGGAATGTGGTGGTGGCTGGGCAGGAAGCTCACCGTGACTTCCTGCCTGCCTATCTCCCTCTGGCTGAGGAAGAGAAGTTACTGGGGGACACCCAGGGTGGGAAAGCTTGAATCCAGTTGTTTCCACAGCCCATTCAATGATTCCAGGTTTTGGACACCTCCTCCTCTCAACACCAATGCCAAATGTGTCAGGCATGCTGAAGAGGTGGCACATGCCTGCAGGCATGGGAAATGCCTCTTGGATCTATTTGTAAAATAATTCAGTTACCAGAGAAGCCAGGAAAACCCTTGGTAAATCTCTACTAAAATGGCAGGTCAGTTCTTGTCTGGAGTGGCCTTCTGTGCTGCAGGGGGCAAGAAAGACAGAGTTTGAAAACCCAGGGATGGATGCTTTCGTGGAGAATGTGTATTATCGTGTATCTGTTTTTTTTCTTCCAAGATACTAGCATGCTGGAGCTCCCTAAAAGAAACATTAATTATAAAGTCACTGGTATTTCTTCTTGTGGCCCTAACAAAGTGAAGCAAGGCAGGAAGCAGGGAGGAAGGGGCTGTAAACATCTGTGTCTTGTGGCAAAAGGCTCAAAGAGGCTTCATGAGTCACCAAGTGTAGTCTAGCACTGTTGCAGTCAATTGTGCCAGGTGTTCTGCATTAATTCATTCAGCACTTGTCTTAAAATCTTTCTTCTTCCCTGCCTTTCTTGGGAGTTAATGCTGTTTAAAGGCTTTATTTTTGCTCCCTTGAGTGATTGGGACAATTGAAGGTTTTTACTTTCCAAAGCGTACTCATAGATTTATATCCTCTTTTTCTTCTGCCTTTGCTTTGCTTTAGCGTAAATATGTGGTCTATTTCATGTTTTTTTAAAAGGTGTTCTTCTAAATTAAAAAAAAAAAAAGATCAAAAAAGGAAACACTGATACCAGAAAACCTGTATGGAGTGTTTTGAAATTCAAGGTTGCTCTGCCTTAGATAACCTAGTACAGGTGTGTCTTCTGCCAGTCAGTGTGGTATTAGCTGAAGCAGAAAGTGATTACACCCCCCCTCGGCTGTAGAGGAAAGATAGAATTTGCTGTTGTGAGTGGCTGTGCTCAAGCCACTGGGCTGCCCTTCCCAACCACTGATGCAGGTCCTTGTGTCCTGGTGCAGCTGCTGGTGGCACAGTTAGCAGGGAAGCAGAGGACAGCAGCGTGGTTGATCGTGTGCATAGCAGATAATAGGCTTCAACAACCCATTGTCTTCACTCTCTCCCACTGCTAGAACTTCTTCAGAGTATAGCAGTCAAGATGTAACCTGATGCAAAGTGAAGAAATGGAGAAAATGACTACATGTTATGGCAGATGGATCATTTCTGCCTTGGAATGGGAGTTCTTGGGGGATGAAAAAGGTTGGCTTCTGCTCTCTGGATCCCTTGTGAGCAGCAAAGTTCAAACAGACTTTGCCTTGCGTCCTCTCTGCAGAAACATGCAGGTGGCACAAGGCCAGTATAAATAAATTGCACCTGACCCTTTAAGTGCCTCTTTGTGCTTTTACAAAGTGGGGTAATATCAACAGTCAGCATTACAAGCTGAATGAACAGTATTTCCAATATAAATGTTTCCTGACATTATGAGTCTCCTCTGGGGAAGGAGCAGGGAGAATATTTAAGGGGGCAGAAAGGGACAGGGAAGAGGTCTGTGTCAATTCCCAGCTTCTGCTGGGAAGCCCAGTGGAAAGCTGATATTACTCAGTCTCCAGAAAAAAGTCACTGTAGATTCTGGTTAGTTTTTGAAAGGAATATAGACAACCTGACACATTAATACAATCCCTTAATTCCTAAGGGAAGTCTTGTCTCTCAGCGTAGGGGTAACAATCTTTGTACAATATTGTTTCAGAAATACCTGTGCAACTTGTAACCAGCTGTTCTGAGCATGGTCAAGTTAGGTTCATGAAAGTGTCCTTCCTTTTGGAAGCAAAAAAGCTACATTTGATCGTACTGAAGAGCACTGACCATGATTTTGTTGAACTACTCAGGCATTCCAGGGACAGTCTTGTCGCTTTTCCCAAATTTATAGGAATGCCACAAGAGGTTTGAATTATTAGTCACATCTGTCTCATGAGTGCATCATGTATTGCCTGACTCTTCTTTAAAACCTGAACCTTCTGAAGCATCTCAGTGTCTTCCTAATGAAGACTTGTGGAAATGCCATGCAGCTGGTTGACCTCAGTATATTCCAGAAGATGTAGGCTTGCACTTGGCAGATCAGAGAAAGAAGTACTGTAACAAACATTATCTTATTTGAGTCCATTTATGTCATTAATTCATGAACTATTGGTCAACTTTTTTTTTCTAATGTGGAAATGATGAACCAAGTAATCTCTTGCAAAGCTGTTCTTTCCACCTACTTAAATGATGGAGAGAGTAGCAAAAATATTCTGAGCATAGCAACTGTGGCTTAGCACTGCTATCTTTGCATAAGTCTACCTCACTGAGGAGGTCTGCTGAAGGAAGGCTTTTCATCCTTAGGGATTAAACAGGTTTTAAAATTAATATGTGCATCACATGATTGATGATGTACCTCCAAAGAGAAGCTAAAAAATTCAGCTTTGTCTACTGGCTCTTGTAAAGTTGCCAATTTAATTATCACATGTTAAACTAATTCATCCAACCCAGATTTTCCCGGGTGTCTCTTACTGTCGATTTAATCTATGAAAATTACTATAAAGTAGTGCTCTTAAAGTTTTCTAGAAAAACAAAATAATTGTTGTTCACATCTCACCCTTAACTGCTTTTTTTAGCCATCGGCTTTCTTCTGGCCTCACAGTGCCGCAGAGCATGACCTAGGAACCTCCTTTCTCTGAGTTCTTATATTTGACCCCTTTGAGAAGAAGCCCATATTCCCACCACAGGAAATGCAGGTCTGCTCTATTCAGATGAATTGTTTTTAGGAAGTATAGAGTATCACCATAGTATCAGCATTGTGATTTTGGTTCAGCCAGGTAGCCCTCCAAGGCACACAACTGCTGAATTCAAGAAGTGTTGTAGAAGTGTCAAAATCCAAGCTTTTGGAGACTGGTGTTTTTGGGGCAGTTATCCCACTGAAATATTCTGTTGTGTGCCATTCTCATACTGGCCCAGTTCTGCATGTTAGTCATTCAGAGCTGGCCAAGTTTTTGTTTCTGTGCTTGGATAAATCCTGTCAGGAGTGGCTTAGGGATGCCTACAGATATAGATATATCTGTTTTGGTTCCCAAATCATAGAGGAAAGTCCTCATTTCCCTATACAGACAACAGGCAACTGAGAAACTTCTATCACAATGGATATGTGGGAGTTTATAGAACAAAGAATAGGAAAAACTATTTTGTCTATATATGGAGGGGGTTTTTTCCTTTCTTTTATTAATATCTATAATCTGGTCTACTAGAGACAAATTGATCATCCAGACTAAGTCTGTGAAAACTAGCATAAGACCATATGTCCTGCTTTGTAATAAGAGTTTTTTTCTCAAAAGTTGTTTTTTTTCTCAAATTATATTTGATACAATCCATAGTTAGGAAGGAGTATTAGGATTATCTCTTGTGGTGGGAGTGCTCAGTGGAGAGGTAGAGCTGGGAAGCAAGGCTTTTCCTGGCTGCTGACTGATAGATCTGGTTCTGTCCCAAGTATTAGTTGATAGAAGTAGATACTGTAGCCGATCTAGTGATTTTATAGAATGGACTTTTCAGGGAAGTGTTTTGTTCTGAGGGGCTTGTATTTTGGCATTTTTTAAGTTAGACCTGTGAAAGCAGCACAGAGGTGAAAAAAAACCAAAACCATGAGGGAATGGAAATAAACTTAGAGTAACACTTGCTGCAGTCTCTCAACTAGTAGTGGTTTAGGAATGGTATTCCCCAATTTAGTGTTCCCACTGAAGCACTTCAGAACATGCACCACTCCCTCCTTCCTTGCACCAGGCTGGAGAGGGGATTTGGAGGCACAAACGGTAAGGATCATGGATCGAGAAAAGAATTATTTATTGGAAGCAGCAAGTGAAATAAGAAAAACAAAGAAAAACGAACTGTAAGAACTACAATATCAGTAACAGAGCCAGTGCTACCCTACCACTGGCTTCACACCACAGTTACCTGACCAGAAGAGAACTCTTTCCCCTACTCTCAGAAAATGATGGGAGCTGGTATAAAGCTCTGGGTCCTAGCCATGCTCCCTCTTGGCTACTGCAGAAATTAACCCTGTCATGGCTGCAATCAGAACGTTGGTTCATAATAAGGGTGTGCTGTAGGTGGCTCAAATGTTTTGAATAATTGTGACTTTGAGTCACCAGGTTAAACTGATAGTATTCCACACTATTGTCTGTGTGTGAGATCTTTTGGGGTCCCTTTCTGAGAAGTATGAGTACATGGAGATCTTGCTGGAAGAGAAACGAATGGATGGCTTTCTTCTTCTGATATAAATGGAGAGCTTGGCTTGTTTTTCCCTTTGATAACTGTTTTCTGCGCTGCTGTTTTTTCTTTACAGGTTAGTATTGCTTGCCCAGAAAGGATGGAGCCAATCACAAAGGTGTCTCACATTCCACCAAGTCGATGGGCTCTAGTGTGTAGTTTATGCAAACTGAAAACTGGTGCTTGCATTCAGGTACGTACTTGTCCCATAGTGACTCTGCAGGGGTGAATCTGTCAGAAGGGCAATTTTGGTTTTGTATTTGTTCTTCCTGTGTTCAGAGATGCTTTACAATGGAGTTGTCTGTTGGACAGATGTCTGCTTCATAGCCATTTGCTATCAAATTAGTTGACTAGACAGAAGAATTAGTCTGTGTTGCCATCTTTTGAGTAAGGCTGCGGTGTTTAAGAGCCACTACTGTCTGTATCAAAGGTGAACAGAAAACTTTCACTGAACTCTCTGCAAACAAGAAAATCCTATATTGGGTAATACCAACTTCAGAGGGGTCAGTATTTTTAAGAATGTGTAGGAAATTGGTTTTGGTGGGGATGGGTTTTCATGTAGTTGAGGTAGTTATGTCCTTATTTTTCTAGTTTGCTGTTACTGTTAGTAAATGAGGCTTTTTGTTTTATTTTGTCTGCAGTGCTCTGTGAAAAGCTGCATCACTGCCTTTCATGTCACCTGTGCCTTTGAGCATAGTTTAGAGATGAAGACTATCCTGGATGATGGGGATGAGGTCAAGTTCAAGTCGTACTGTCTAAAGCACAGCAAGAACAAACAGAATTCGCTGCCTGAAGTTGAGGAGCATCCCAAGAGTGTGCCAGAGCAGAAGCAAACAGAGAGTGAGAAAACGAGCCTCCGAGCCCAAAAACTCCGAGAGCTGGAAGAAGAGTTTTACTCACTAGTGAAAGTGGAGGATGTTGCAGCAGAGCTGGGCCTTCCTAAACTTGCTGTAGACTTTATCTACAATTACTGGAAATTAAAGAGAAAAAGTAACTTTAACAAACCATTGTTTCCTCCCAAGGAGGATGAAGAAAATGGCTTGGTGCAGCCAAAAGAAGATAGCATACATACTCGCATGAGGATGTTCATGCATTTAAGGCAGGACCTAGAGAGGGTAAGAATTAACTTGTAAAGTTTTGAAAAACTATTTGCAGGTGAGCAAGGTCTTTCTTTGTGGATGAAAGTGAGAATGAGGAAAGCAAAGTGAGATGATTTGAAAAATAATAATGAAAAAAAATAAAAACTAAGGCCTTCAGCACCAGTCTTTTGATATGCTGCACTGTCTGATGCAGAGACTTTAGGGAGCTGCCTCTCTCAGTCCAGTGGAAAATCCAAGATGAAAGCAGTGCTTCCTGACTTGCTTAAAGGTTATTCCTTTATGTATTTAAAGATGCATATTTCTATGCACAATGGACATATTTGGTAATTGACTCTATGACTTCAGTTTCAGTTGAGTAAGTGTTTAAAAAAATGAAGAAACTTATTTGACCCGCTGTAGTAGTAGTTAGTGGTGCAAATTAAATGAGAAAAAATGTTACTTTTATTAAACAAAAAATAAGAGTAAGGCTTGTTACCACTGCCCGTTAGGTTGGCCTGTTGGGTAGGAGTCACCTGCAATTTTCAAATGCTTAGAGGTAGGTAGTGAATGTATAAAAGGTAATATAATAAAATAGATGTGATGAGGAGAGAAGTAAAAGCAGAAGAGAGGTAATAGGGAAGCAATATTGGGAAGAGAACAACGTGAAGATACAGGAAGATTGTTGGAGCCAAAATTTGCACTTATCAGTGTAACTGTTGTCTTTAATCTATCATAATCAATCCCAGATACTTTCCAGGACTGCTTTAAATATGGAAGCTGACTTTGAGAAAAAATATAGAACCCATAATATGCCTCAGATGGTGGGTCGGTATTTGGGGGTGGGGATTTTTCAAAAGACCATGTAAGCTTTTTGTTTGATAAATGTTTGGTTTGCACCAAAAAGTGTTGAAATTTATATATTTATTCTGAGTAGAGGTGATTCATAGTTTGAAATGCCTGTTTTCAAGTTTCTGAACTTCTTCAGAAAGATTTTCCACAAGATTTTCTATTCTGTTATATCTTGGGATAAATAGAAGTTTGGGAATCTTGGAATTTTGTTTCTAGGTAAAGAGATTCCAGTTCTGAACCGATGGAACTAAGTGCTGGGGAAAGTATGTTTGTCAGATACCTTTCAAGCAGCCCCTACGTTGTTTCTGTGTTTCAAAAGCACTTTTAGGTGTTTATCAAGAACTTCCAGTGTCTCTTTTTACTCTATTGCCTTAGGTGGAAATTTTGCTATTAACTCAAACAAGTAGAATTATGTGGAACTGAATCAGAATGGTTTGGGCTGGAAAGGACTTTAAAGACCCTCTAGTTCCTGCACTCCTGACATGGACAGGGACACCTTCCACGAGACCAGGTTGCTCAAAGGCACATCCACACTTCAGAGATGGGGCCTCCACAACTTCTCTGGGCAACCTGTTGCAGTGTCTCACTGTTAACAATGTCTTCCTGATGCCCAGTGTAAACTTACCCTCCTTCAGTTCAAAAACATTACATCTTTTTCTATCACTACAGGCTCTGGTCTCTGTCTTTCTTAGAATCCTTTTTAATATAAGGAAAAACTGCAGTGAGATCTCTCCAGAGCCTTCTTTTTTCCAGGCTGAACTTTTATTTTTTTTAATAGTTAGGTACGTTCAGTAATATTCACAAGAACTTCACCAAGGGATTTTGCATGTAATGTTGGATAGTCTTTTAAAACTATGTCTGGGTTTATTTTCTTATTGCCTTTTAAGTCTTCTGTTACTCTTCCATAGGTAAGAAATCTCTGCTACATGGTAAGCAGGAGGGAGAAACTGAAGTTGTCCCACAGTAAAGTACATGAACAGGTCTTCAACTTGCAAGTCCAACTCATTAACCAGGAAATTGCTGCAGGTAATCACATAAATGTAAAATATTTATAAAACCTGTCTGTATTTAAACTAAAGCAGTGTATTCTCTTTATCTTCCTGGTTAGTGCTTTTAACATGTAAAAATGCCTTTAAGAATCAAAGTAGCAACACAGAAAGAACTCTGTAATCGTTTAAAATATTTAGTTGAATATTTCTTTACTTTATGGCTGTTTCTGGTATATGCCTATTGCTTACCACTGTGGCGTCCAGATAGCAGAAGTGAGCCGGTGGTGATCTCCAGGTTTTGCACCGTTGTGCTGCTGGGGTGTGGCACTGGTTCCCCACAGCAAGCTCTACCCCGCTGGTGGTTCTCCAGCTGAGAAGGCTTTTTTGCTTGCTGTCACCAGCTGGTTCCTTCAGGCAAGGGAAAGAGTGACTGATGGGAATTGCTGCTGTTCTCATGTGCCTTGTGCACGTCATGGGCACCGCAGATTTCTTAGTTTGACATCTGCATTTGCTCTCCTTCCTTCCAAAAGAGTTTAAGTACACTGGGTATTAATAGGGACTAGTAACTGTTGGGAATGCTGAGGTGCCAAACCCCACTCTGCCCTTTGCATTTACAGCAACTTTTTAAAATAAGGAACACAGCATTTGGAAAGAGGAAGAGTGTATGGTACCAGTGTAGTTACTGGGATTTTTTTTTAATAGGAAAGGCAGCTATTTTTTGTGTGAAATTAAGATCTCGCTGGTCTTTCTAAATACATACTTTACCAGCTTAGGGTGAAATCTTTGTGGCTTTTTTCTCTGCCCTGATGGATAGGTTTCGTTAGTACTGATAAGGTTTTCTTTTTTTTACTGTTTTAGATCAGACTAGTACTTCATGGAAGCAGTGGCACTCTAAAGCTCCTTGCTTTTCTGTAAATGCATTTTATTAGAAATGTCTACTAAGTTTATTTAATATCTTTACAAATACAAGTGTATTTTTTAATACTTATTATAATGGCTTGATACTTGCAGTGGGCGCTGTATGCATGTATTACCACAAACAACTCCTATGTTGAGGTAGAAAGTCTTCTAAAGCTTAGAGAATGTTATAATACAAAGCAGAGAGTTGAACTAAATCCAAATTGAAACTCAGTTTGAAGCATTGTTTTTTCTTCATCCAAAACTGAATATGAACCTTTTTTACAGCTTTGTTGGAACAACTTCAGTCATATCTCAAAACTGGTTCAATTCACTGGCTTAAAGCCTCGTAAAAAGGGCACATTGTTGTTTTTAATGGAAATATTTAAATGCTTACCTAAATTCCAAAGCAGTGGATAATTTGGAACAGTTTGGTTATCCCAACTTCTCCTTAGTGTCCTAAAATAATTTCACGCTAATTATTTGCAAATGCTTCTTACTGTTGCATGACCATATAATGGTCTATAAAAGTTGTTACGGATAGCAAAAGAAATTATGCTTTTTAAAAAAGCCTTTTTTCTTTTTCTTCTGCTTCCTCACCTCTTTCTCCTGTAGGCCATACCCTGACAAGTGCACTAGAGAACACACTGTTCTACCCACCTCCCAGGATCACCCTGAAGTTAAAAATGCCCAAATCAGCACTGGGAGACTGCAAAAATAACTCGCTGAAGCCTGGCAACAGACCGCTTTCTCCTGACAACAGCAGCACTGTTTACAGCAAACGGAGTGTGTCAAAGGAATCATTTGAAATTAAAGCAAAATCTTATGCCAGGTATCAGCACGACAGCAGAAGTAATGGGCTGCTGGCAGGGATCGGCAAGCCTCGGAGCGAGGCAAAGGACTCTGGCCCCACGCAGCTGATGGAGTTTCACCGGGGCCAGCCTTCCGGGAAGCCTTTAGCACTCCAGGCTGCTTTGCATGGACAGTCTTCCATCGGGAATGGGCGGGTGCAGCAGGAGAACTCAAGGCTGGTGTCCAAATCCAATGGTCTGATGAGCAGGGCGGGAGATGTGAGCCAGAGAGACAGCTCCAGCCAGACGTCCTACGAACAAGAGTCCGTGCTCACAGCTCACTTGGCCAGCCAGAGTGGATTCCGAAAATCCACCATAGAACATTTCAGCCGGTCCTTTAAAGAGGCTACCAACAGTCTGGTGAGGACCACGGAAGATCTCCGGTGCTGTGAAAAGCCAACGAGAAGACTCGCAACAAAAGATCGCTTGTGGAGCAAGCAGACACTTGAAGGTGCTCCATACCAGGACAATGATGGGTACTGTCCTGACTTAGAGCTGAGTGACTCTGAAGCAGAAAGTGATGAAAACAAAGAACAAGTGAGGTTAAGACGAAGTAGCTCAGAGAGAGAAAGCCCAAGTAAGGACTTTGGAAGAGACTGTCACAATAGAAACAAAAAGAATATGATATCTCACAGTTCGGTACAAAGGTGATTAGAAGCCCCCACGGGGTAATTCAGCCTTTATGTATTCCAGTGTACCAGTGCAAAGCTCAGCATCAAAAGGTTCCAGAAAATAGTCTAGGACCTATTTAGAAAGAGCTGCAGTAGGGGATGGGGGAGGGGAGAGAAATCAGAGTAGTTTTGTTCAACTGTGAATTGGTTTGCAGTCTTTGCAAGGTGAGCTCAGTTATCCACCAAGTCATGTGAAAATTGTGTCTTTTATCAGAGGGTAACATCTGGGAGAGCACAAAGCGGTTAATCGTGCAAAAATTCAGGAAGCCGCTTCCCCCTTGCCAGCTGAAGGGCAAGGCACCGTGTTCATGTGGGGGTAGTCTTGTGGTGGTGGGCAGGTTTTGAAGAAGTCCTTGCATTGCCCTAATGTGTTGCAAGAGACTGCAAACGGAGACACTGAAACTGCGTTGTTATGGCACCTGCAGTATGGCTTTGATCCAGCAATGCACTTACGGATGTGTTAGGAAGTTAAGCACGTGAAAAGTCCTGCTGGTTTCCCCCGGGAACGTTTGTGCTCAGCTATCCGAGCACATGCCGGTGTGCTCTGCTGGATCAGGCCCAAAGTGACTACTAAGTGATGATCCCCTTCTGCAGGAGGCTTTGAACTGCAGTGGCGTTTGCAGGCTCCCTGCAGAGGGCGGAAGCAGGCGTCGCTGGCGCTGCCAAACTCGCTGACCTCTAGACGTGCCCCCCCTTCCCTGCTTTTGCTGAAGGTTGTGTTTCTCTTCACAATAATTCGCTTATTTTGTAAATATACAACTTCTAGTACTTCAGTTTTTTAATCTCTGTACATAGATGCTTGTTGTGGGATGCACTTGTAAATATTTTACCCAGCTAACAAGTACAGATGGCTAATTTTGTGGATAGTGTTTACAAAAGTAGATGTACTACTTCAAAGAAAAAGGCTATTTGACACTTACATTTAGGCAATCACCGGTGATGCCAGGTTCCTCTTGAAACTGAGATTTCATATCCAGAGGTGTTTTTACCTGGTATTTTTAAAGTCTGCTGAATTAGAAATAATTTTAGCTGAATTTTTTTTTTCAGGTGCAAATTTTCAACCCTAGTTGCCTGAACACAAGCATAGGAGTCTTCTGGCATCTAGGTCTGTAAAATTTTAGCCAGTCATCATTTAGAGTATGATGGTTTAATTAAAGATGGGGTTTTTTTTTTAATTCCTGAAAATCTACTATTCTAAAATTTTAGCCAGTCATCATTTAGAGTATGATGGTTTAATTAAAGATTGTTTTTTTTCTTAATTCCTGAAAATCTGCTATTTTATTACACTGCTTTTCAACCTCTGGATCAGTTGCTGTTTCCCAGTCTAACACATTTTTTGTATGTCCTTTAAAATCAGCAGTTGTTAAATAGCAATTAAATTTCAGCCAGTACCAGCTGAGGAGTTGAGAAGGGAAGGGAATGAATCCCCTTCTGTTTGTTTCAAACAGGGGACTTTTGTTGGAATGCAAACTAACTTCTTGTTTTACAGATGGTGTTGTGTTGATCAACAAAGCTACTGCACTATTTTTGTCTGAAATGCTGTACATTTCATTAACACACAACATCCTCTGTCCCCACATCACTGGCTGAAACGACCCACAGGTTGTGTAGGGCACGTTCTACAGCTCTGTTGAGGGTTCAATTTTGTCTACAAACAAAAAAGTGTTCCCCCCACAGCGTGAAGATGGCTATGCAGGATCTGAACAGCAGCTTGGTTTCGCTTCCCAGTTTTAATTTATTGCTTTTAGGTTGGGAAATGGCAACGACATTTTCAGATTAGTTTTAAACTTTGAAATCTCCCTAGTTGCAATAGGACTAGCAGGTCAGGGGCTGGAGGACTCTTCAGTAGTGAAATAATTTTTAAAAAAGTATACTTGGCCAATCTCTGTTTGCTTCATGCATCTTAATTTTTTTTTTAATTTTTTTTTTTTTTTACTTCTTGATTTTATGTATATTTGTGTAATTGATCTTTCTAAAGCTGTATCTTCAAAATTATTTCTTTTGGTGTAAATATGCAGTAGCAATTTAGGTTTCCACATATTTTATTTTTATGGGAAATGCTTTGTGTTCTAAGCCATGGGTCATTCAGAATAAGTAAACAAATGTCTGTTCATTTGTATTCTGGTTCTGGTTCTCTTAGTTCTCCTTCAATATTTATTAGTAATCCTCTCTCACTGGCCATGAAATTTTATGAAGCTTTTATTGGGAACACTTATCTGGGCGGTCAGCAAAGTGTTCATGTTATTTTGTAAGCATATGACAGAAGAGAGGGAAAATGGTGCTTCAGCAAAACTCAGCATTTCTGCTCTTCTGGGGTTATCAATTCAGTTGTTTCCAGTCTGGGCAATGGTTTTGCTAATTTTTACATGATTTTAATAGACATATGAAGGAGCCCTTGGTTATGTAGTTCTCAAGTATTGTCCCCAAAGTGCATTTGCTAGTTTTTATTGTGCGTTCGGTGGCTAACTGTTTGAAGTATTACCTCTTAACCTTATTTGTCAATTTTTTGTTGTGTTTTTGCATTTTGTTTTATATATATAAATATATATATATATTCAATTTTCCAAGATGGACTCGGTCTTTTTCAGATGTCCCCTTTTTACAAGTACTTTTTCATTAAATTATGAAACTGCTAACAATATTTTCATTTGTTGTGATTTATTCAGGGCTTTACCCTCTGTGTCTGGCAGGTTGTAAAACTCATCAGTACTGCGTCCATCGGGAGTAAATTATTTCTGCCGATTTGGCAATACTTTAACAAGTTAAGTATCCAGGGAAAACCCTTCCCCTTCAGCCTCCCAAAAAAGAGCCGCTGAGCACTCATTTGCTGTGCATAGCAAATAGTGCAAGCCTGGCTTTTGTTTCTGCCTAGCTGAGCAAATGTAACAGACCATTTGCTGCCATGGCCTCCCTTTTCAATGTATTTGCTTATGCTGTGGTATGGCTGCTTTTCCCTGCTCGGACAAAGTGAGTTGCAGAGGAAGAGCCGTAGCCAGGCCTTCTGTCTGATCCTGTTCTTGTGCCCTCTTGCTGGCACAGAGGAGCTGCTGCCTGGCCTAGAGCAGCGAAGAAGGAGAAATGAGGCAGTGGAGGGGCAGGTGCTGGGCTGGCTGATGGCGCAGCATCCCTCCTGCTCTGACTGGCTCTGCAGCTGGCAGCCTTCAAGAAGGATGGGGTTTGCAATGTGAGTGTAGTGACCCTCCTGCCTGAGATGGCTCTGGCAGCAGCAGAGTGAGTCAAAGCTGAGCAGCCAACATCACCCTTGTGGACTGGCTTAAGGACTGGAGTGACTGAGCTGGTGGCCCCAAGCAGGCTGGAACTGCAGCTAGAGAAGGCTTGGGTGAAATGGAGCCCAAATCCTCAGCTGAAAAGCAAACAGGAGGTAAAAAAAAAAAAGGGGAAAAGGTAGTAAAGGTGCAGACAAAGGGAAGAAAAGCCAGCACTAGGAAGAAGCAGTAAGTGTTGGACTGTTTGTTGTTATTCAGGACCAGGATTTTTTTCTTCCCTAAAGGCATCTTGCAACAGATACCAGTAACAGACTTCCTTGTTGTGACTTTCTGACTGGTGGCTTCTAATTCCCTCTCCGCATCCAGTCTGCTTGTGGCTGAGAAGTGGGAAAGACAGGGCCAAGGAAGGAGATTGGTGTCCCCATTAATTTGGAAACAGCTACTATTTATTTGTAGGGTCTTTTCAAATAACTAAGTGTGCTTACTTGTTGATGGTAACATGGGCCAAGGACTAAAGGGGCTGCACAGTGGTTCTGAGCACCATCATCTCTGCATTTATGTTTCTGCCCTAAAAGAAATGTTTCTCAATTATAACTTGTGTCTGTCACTTGTGGAATGTTTTCTTTGCACCATGAAAAACCAAACGATTGAAGAAGTTACAAATGTTTGGCTATTAAATGTAAGCCTGAAGCATTCCCTTGATTGGATGTGGTCGCTCTGATGACCTGGCCTGGATGTACAGGCTGTACTGCATGGTGTGGATCTGAGACCTGGGAGGGAACCAAAGCCTGCCTCTGTGAGCTGTGAAGATAATCCAGCGAAACCACTCATTCTGATCTTGGGAATTTGGATGATCCCAGAACTTGTAAAGGTTTAGCACTGCAGGGAATTGACACATCTATTAAGAAAATATGCTTTTCATGCGAATTAAGGAACAAAAGCTGCTTGCACAACCGGGGAGCTTGGCATGCAGGGAAGGGCAGAGATGGAAAACAATGGAGTGCCTCAATGCAGCTTCCTTAGGAAGAAGTGAAGACACACAGACTTCTGAGCTCTGGTTTAATGAGATTCCTTGCTACTGCTGCTTCTGAACTTCCTTTTACACCAGCTTCATGGCTGAACACTTTTGCCACTCCTGAGGTGAAACTCTGTGGTATTTACCTCTTGTAGAGATGATTCTGGGATAACTGCTGTCAGGCTCTGCTCCTAACCAAGTGAGTGCATCTAGTGGGATGTGACAGGTGGATTAAAGTGACTGCAAGCACAGACTTCCGAAATAAAAGGTTACATGGCAGCTGGGTAAGTTGTTTGAAAATAGCGGATGTGCATGACTATTTCTGTTCCTCAAGTTCACCCCTCTGCAGAGCCTGGATAAATTTGTGGGACCATGTGGTTGTAGGAGAAGCAGCCTCGCATATTTGTGCATTAATTTCCCTGCCTCTGTGTATGCAACTTCCAGATAATCTTTCTTTTTCCAGTAGGCTTCTTTTGTCTGGGACAACCTCCTGGATCCACCTTGCCCTGCCCTTTCTCTGGGATTCTTTTGTTTCAGGTTGGGCAGACCTTCCCTGCCTTCCACTGCTTTCTCAGCAGACTTGGAGTTGGGTATCTGCCTCACCTTGGCTGCTTTATCTGATATACATTGTTTTAAATCTCTGGGTAGGTTCCGTGATGGCACCTTCATGGTTTCTTTTGGCTTAAACATCCTGAAGACATTTTTTTCCAGTTTCAGTTATTTTTCCTCAGATGCTGCCCCACCCACCCCATCCTGAGGAAGAAGCACTGGGGAGCAGGACACGAGTTGTATTTTGATAGTTCCAGTGTTCTGCTCATGAAACTGGTGGGCCAGTGTTCTGAGAAGGATTTAGAACTTAGCTCAACAGCAACATAAAAGGAAGGTGCTGTCAAGAAATCTGATCATCTGAGAGCTCTTGAGCTTATGACAGACTTCAAGAGTAGTACCTGTAAAAAGTGTTACATGCCGCTTGGGAAAATGGCTCTGGTTATACCTTGGGAAATGCAGGCCCTGGTGAGGGAATGGGTCATCTGAGAGGGAAAAACACCTCTGAGCTAGCCCACCCACTTCACCTGAAACTGTGGTGTCTGGTTGCATTCCTTTGTAGTTCCTTATCTCAGAAGGGTGGTGCTGAGTTGTTTGGGAACCCCTGTCACTGGCATTTTAGGCTCCATTTGCATCTGGTTGAATGGAAGCTGATTAAAGCCCTTTCCCTCCTTAAAACTGGCTCAGCTATTGTTCTGTTGTCCCCTCTAAAATGAAGATAGGGCATTGTTTCATCCTTTTCCTGATTTAATCATTATCCAACAAACCAGACATCTCTCCTTGCTAAAGGAAGCACAGAGGCTGAAAAGCTGGATGAGCCAGGTGATGGAGATACTAATAAGCAAGTTGTAATTTACACTCGTTACAAATAGCTGGTACATAAACCAGACTCCTCAAATTGTCTGGTTGAACATCTTAAATTAAAGCTCTGTGAAGTCACCCTAAATCTGCAGTTAATTTGAAATTTAATTTTGATTTGGCCAGAAGAAGGATTTGCATGCCTGTAAGCTGCAAACACTGGAAGCACTGTTGCTAGATCAGTTATTTGAATGAAAGATGCTGCCTTTCCCTCAAGTCCTGGCTCTGTTGCATGACCTCTGTTGTGACTATAATTTTGCAGCTGCTGTAGCACATATCAATGCTCTTTTTTTAATATCCTGAGGCAATCAAAATGCAAATCCAGGTCACATGGGGTGCAAAGACCAGAAAAGTAAGGCATTAATGAAAAGTGTCTTGGCTGTGCTCCACTGGAGAATGCTTTCTGAAGCACCCTGTTGCCCAACTGCTCCCAGTACAAAGTGGAGAGGCTCAGGCTGGGAACTCCAGATTTGTGAGGCAGCTCCAGGCAGCAGAAACCTGCAGTTCTTGGTGCTCCCATGACAAAGAAGTTGGAGGTGTGAGAGTGTGAGGATGTTCATGAAGCACTGGGGAGACTAGCTGCAGTGGGAAGGGTCACACATTTGCTTAAGCATTGTATTCTTAAGTGAGATGCTTTTTCATGGGCCTGTGGCCTGTACAGAAGGAATTGTGCTGAAAGAAGTCTGTGTAATAAACTGTAATAAGTAACGGGTATGCTTGTCATTTTTGTGAAAACTGTTTTTAAAGGCTAAATACTTCAATATGACTTCCTGGTGATTTGGTGCAATCCTTTGTAGAAAAGATTCCCTGAGATTCTTAATCCATTCTGCATTAACTTGTGTGACAGTGGTGTTAGACACATAAATTAGTCAATGGGCACAAATCTGCTGGTGCCACCTTCTCCCAGGCAGACATCTGCAAACAGGAAAATGGAGTACTTTGGCAAACGTTTTAATGTGTTTAAATACGCAGCTGTGATCATCCAGACAAGTAAACAATTGAAACTTCTCAGCAGTTTGATCTCTCCTGGAGTTACTTGTTGCTTGCTAACAAATAAAACTTGATCTGGATACACAAGCCAGTTCCAAGAATTATACTTGGCTGCAAACAAGTGCATGGCAGTGCCAACTCTTCCTTTCCAGTGAACTGATGGCAGTGAGTGATTTCATGTTTCTACCTTTGCTCTTGTTCAGTGCTTTTTCCTTGTCCCTCCATCTGTGCACCCCCAAATGCAGTATTACCTGCTAGGGGAGAATTCCCACATGCCCACTCCGGCTGCCCTAATGGATTTAACAGGCTTGCACTGAGGTGGTGGCTCCTTGGGCTCCACGGCCCTTGGCACAGTCCCCGCTCTCAGCTGTACCTTGCCCCTCTGCCAAGATGGCCTGACAGACTCAGAGGCAGCTCTTGGGGTACAGACAGCTGATACACAGCATTTGCACTTCATATCAGCCATGGATAAGGAAGGAGACCTCACAGTAGTAAGGAAGGAAAAAAGACAAGGATTGCTCTAAAGATGAAGAAATAGCAGGACCAGGTTCATAAAAGAAGACGAGAACAACTGCAGGAATGAGCAGAAGTAAAACCAAGTCTCTATAGTGCCTGAAAGAGTCCAGCACCTCTTCTTGCCTACAGTTGTTAAGGGTGGGGGGATTTTTCCATTGCTGTGGTGCTCTGGGCTGTTCTCCAGACCTGCTGAGCGTTCCTGACTGGCAAGAAATGTGATGGCTTCTGGCAGGCTGAGGGAATCTGCAGGCTGGGAGAGAGCTGTGACTTCACCCTACAAGGCCTCCCACATCACAGATCTCCGCTTTGTGTTCTTCGTAGTTGTAGATAAGTAAGAATTCCACTTCCCTGCTCCCTCCCACCATGTGGAACAAATGCTAAGCTACCAGTGTGTCCTGTGGAAGCCACAGAGGTGCTGTGTCAGCTCCCTATCAGTCAGATTTGGCCACACAGTAGACTCTCTGGCTGCAGTGCAATAGAGGGAAGTTCCCAGTGGGAAGGCACAAGGCAGTACAATCTTTGGCAGCCACCTCTTCTGTGCTCTTCTCTCCCACAGTGAACTTGTACTGGCAGAAGACTTTATCTGATGCTCTCTGTGAAGGCACCCCACCATGGATTCCTCCCTGCTCTACCTTTCAACAAGCTTGGATTAGCCAATACAGAGAAGACACATGGGACAGCTTTAACTAGAGATCCAAGCTCCAAATACATGTCACAGAGTTTGTGTTGTAACCCAGTGCTTACAGAAGCTGTTTATTTTCTCCCAAGGTGTGTGCCAGCACACAGCTTGTTTTGATGCCTCCAAACCATGCTGGCAAATGCTTAAGTCAGCAAGGAACAGAGACTGCTGAGGTGGGTTGAGGGTGTATCTCCTCTTGCTGCTGGATTCAGTAAGCTCTTGCATTGTATCCCAAATAGCCTTCTAGTGTGCAAAAACAATGGGAGAGCAGTAAATGTGGCTAAGCTTTGTAAGAAGCAATAATTGTTCTTCATTGTACTTAATGAATTCCTTGATTCTTTGCATATGGGTTTGTTTTGGTTTTTTTTGTTTTTTTTTTTTGTTTTTTTTTTTGTTGTTGTTGTTTTTTTTGTTGTTGTTGTTGTTGTTTTTTTTTTTGTTTGTTTGTTTGTTTTTTTTTTAATTTCTGAATCTTCTTTCCATGTTGTGAAGTGTATGGAAAAAAAGGAGAGAGATGTGGCACTTTTTTTTATGGAAGTTTCTCTTTGTTGTTTGTTGCTAATAATTTGCTTGCCTTGGGTCTGATGAAATCCTGCTATTTGTTGTACATGAAGCAGTAGGACAGAACGAGAAATTAATTCAATGCTAAACACTGAAGGAATACCATGGAAGCCTATAAAATAGAAGTCTAACTGCTCAGATAAGGTGACAATAAGTTAATGAGTATCACATCAGTACTCCATCAGAAGAAGCCTACATGAAACACATGTTGGTAAGGTAATATAGCCATGAAGTTTCCAAAGATACCAGTAATAGAAATAAAAGTTAGCAAGTGAAGCCTGGGCTGTGACCACCTACTTTAAAGATAATCAAATAAAAACATTCAACAGGAGATAACTGCTGCAAGGAGGGTGTATGATAAAAAACATAAAATCTGTAAGAGGAGCTGTGTAGGTTCTCTCTCCTGAAAGACCCTGCTGGGTGCTGTGGGATCACTGGTGTGCAGTGCCCCTTGAGTAAAGGGAAGCCAACTGGAAACCAGAGTCTGCGTGGGGAAGAGGCGAGCTTTGGAGCAGCCGAGTTAATTCTGGTTTGTGGGATACAGCGGCGAGCCAGCTCACGCCTGCCTTGTGCTCCTGAGTTTCCAGGTGGAGACACACAGGCCTTGGAGCAGTGGGACTGAAGCCAGTTGGTGTCACTGATCCCTGTGGGGATCACCAACTCCAAGTCAAAAGGCAATATGTCATGGGGTGCTGAAGAGGAGACCTGGGATAAAAAAAGTACCCACTGCTTTAAACTTGAGGCATGGGAGCTGTAGTGGCCATAGCACAGAGATAACCACGTGCAACAGACAACTCTATCTGAAAATTTTGTTGCCAGCTGTTTGCCTCCTGCCTTTGGAAGTTTTTGAGACTAAACAGAACGGGGACTAAAAGAGGACAGGACACGCTGAGGGCCTGGGATAGCTGGATAACCAAGGTGCTGCTGCAGGAGCTGTGAAGGATCCCTGGTGCTGGAAGTCGGGGCCGGTCTCTGCGGCCACCTACACCAGAGCAAGAAGGCAGGGGGGAATCAGCCTCTCCAGCGGCTGAGCAACTTGGCCACCGTAGTGGGAAAGAAAGCTCTTCTCCCTCTTTTCCCTCCCTGCAGCTCCTGGAAGCCCTGAAGCTCCTGGAGGAGGGGTGCCGAGGCGCTGTTGCTCGGACAGGCGGCACGGCAGCTCCTGGCGCTGGCCGTGCGGGAGAGGAGGATCCCGCAGGGCCCGGCGGGCCAGCCCGCCCCTGCCGGGGTACCCAAGGCGCGGCGCTTCCCGGCTCCCAGCCCGCTATAAGAGCGGCGGCGGGAGCGCTCCTGCCGGGAATAGGTACGGCCGGGGCGTGCTGGGGGCGCGCTTCCGTGTTGTTGTGAGTTGTTGGTATTGATCCTTGCCCCTCGTCTGTCCGCGGTCCCGGCAGGTGGGTGGGTGCAGGCACACGCCGCTGGGTACGCGACACGGCGGCACTCGCGCTGCGCCCCGGCAGCCGGGAATGCGGGGCGGGCGGCTGCGGAGCGGCCTTTGCCTGCCTGCGCCCGCCCGCACCCCATTTCATTTCTCCCCTCTCTTTTAATAGTCCCCCTCCCTTTTTTTTTTTTTTTTTTTTTTTTTTTTTTCCCTGCCCGCAGGCCGTAACGCAGTGGCGATTCCCTCGACAGGCCATGTCATCCGTCAGCATCGAGTGCGTGGCCAAGGAGCGCTGCAGGATCGGGGAGTCGCCCGTGTGGGACGAGAAGGAGGGCGCGCTGCTCTACGTGGACATCACGGGAAGGAAGGTGTGCCGCTGGAGCCCGCTCACCCGGCAAGCACAGGCCATTCCCGTGGGTAAGGAGCCGCTGGAAAAGCCTCTGTGTGCGGGAGCTGCGTGCTGGGACTCGGGCTGTGTCCCTCGGCAGCTGCACGGCGCTCAGATCTGGAGACCCTTCCCTACAACCTGGGTTTCCTCGGGCGCCAGCACACTGGGAGACACTAGATACAGAGCATCCCTAGTTCTGGGGTCTTTCCTTATCATATTTTAGTACTGGGTTATGTTTGATCCATTTCTTTTCCCTGTAAGTTGTCCTCAGCTCGCTCTCTTTTATTCATACTTTGTCCCAGAGGTAAAGTTCTTCTGTTGGTGTCTGTAGTAGTTCTGATGTGAATGATCAATGCTCATAACATTTTCTGTATTGAAAGACGATTTCCAATAATGCTTTAAGAAGTTGATACTTCTTTAAGGTAGTGGTGTCACCAGCTAGAGTCTCAATGGTTCAAGTATTTTTTCCATAAAGGAAGAGATGTGCTAACTCACATTAAAAAAGGGTTGCAGATTTACTGCTGGATGTGATAGAGTAAATATTTGTGTTGGGAGACCGCTCCTTAAGTGGTTCAGTACAATTTATTATTTTCTCAAGTTCAATAGCACTTGGTGAAAATCAATTTTGCCTACCTATAAGCTGTTCGGATTATTCACTAGAAACTGATCTGGGTTTATCTGCCTTTCAAATTACTGTACTTGTCAATTTCAAGATGAGAGAAGGCCTGATAGTGATTTTGGAAGTGTTGCTTCCTAAACTTATTCCTCTTAGCTTAGCTGAGGGAGTGTGTTTCTCCCTGCCTTTCCCCCAAACTGATTTACTCTCAAAGGTGTAGTCTTTTAATTGTGGCCTCTCTGGAGAGGTGGAAGGGACAGCAGCTGAAGTAGCTCCATTTTTTTTTTTTTTAATTGTTTCCTCTCTTTAGTAATAAAATAGTTATGATTAATAGCTGTGTCTTTGGAAATGCCATGATTAAAAGAAAAAAATACAACCCCCAAACAACCAAAGAATGCCATAATATTGTAGTAGTGGGCTTCCAAAGTGGAAACTAAGAGAAATTATTAATTATTAAAGCTTTTATTAAGGGAATTATAACAATGCCATGCTTAGAAACAACTTCAAATGCCCTTTATAACTTTACAGGGGGAACACTATAGCTGCATAACTGGGCCTGGAGGGGAGACCTTATGTTCAGTTTTATATTGGGCGTAAGATGGTGCTGCAAATCAATCAATTCCTGCAGATGCCCTCTGGGGTCACAGCAGACTGAGCTGGGTGCATGGGCTGAGGCACTCCTCGTGCTGGGTTTGTGCAGCCAGCAGCAGGGTGGCTGTGTCCTCGTGCAGCCCTTTCCTCTGGGGTGCAATGTCAGGAAGGTGTGGAGCCGTTCTTGTGGCTGCAGGGGCACCTGGATGTCCAGCACCTCCGGTGGACAGCTGTGCTTGGGGGCTGCTCCCCCCAGGCTGGGAGGAGTGCCCTGGGCGCTGCCCAGGAGGAAGGACTCTGCTAAGCCATGGGCCCAGGCATTTTCAGCTAGAGCTGAGCTTGCAGTCGGGTGTTCATCTCCAGTGCTGCGAACAAATTCCGATTTCTGTCACGGTGGTACTGCTGCCAGGGCTCCAAAGGGAAGGGGCATCCTGAGCCCTGAGCAAACAGCTGGAAAGGAGCAGTTCCTCTTGTCACCCAGTGGTGGCTGCTGGTGGTTATAAGTGTTTGTGAAAGTATTACCTAATTATACTCCTGCAAAGCCATAAATACAACAAATATTTCAGTTTTAAATTAAAAAATTAGTAATTAGTCCCATTTATAGAAAATATGCTAGACTTGTTTGCCCTGCCTGAAGTTATTGTTCCTTAGATTGCATCTGATTGTAGGCTTTTACAGAAATGTTGTCTTTGCACTCACTGGTTTTTTTACTAATTCCTTTATAATAACCTGTAATTGAGGTTTTGTGCGTAATAGCTCAAGTGAGTGTAAGCTAATCATGGAAAGTGAGTGTGAACTAGTTTTCTGTTCTGTTTTGGCTCTTGGGAAGCTCTCCCACTCCTTGGTGTGTTTTTGGTGCTGCTGGAGGTTGAGCAGCACAGCAGAGTGTGGTATGGGGGTGTCTCTCCTGTCCCAGTGCAGGGATACTCTGCTTCCATCACTTCACAGCTCATTTACACAGGAGCTGTGCTAAATAAACACCGTTGCTCTAGAGCTCTTGTGGTATTGATTTTTCCCTTGGAGAGAGGAGAACCCACACAGTAAGCTATTGTACAAAGCATATGCTCCTGTCCCCTTTTTATGCTTACTTTTTTCAATAAAGCACCTAGCACAACTAGGTGCTGGTGGTGATTATAACTCGTGGTAGCAGTGGTAATACTCGAGTTCCATGACATAATCTGTTTCTATGTATTTAAACATCAATTTTGTTGGTAGAAAAGTGGGTGGTTTCTCTTGCCTGTGGTTTTGCTGAGTTCAGTTGGCATGTCTAAAGTGGGCAGGAAAGAAATGTCTCACTTTTCAATTTCACCCCATTTCCAGATGCTCCTGTGAGCTCCGTGGCTCTCCGGAAGTCTGGGGATTATGTCATCACCCTAGGAACCAGGTTTGCTGCTTTGAAATGGAAAGAGGAGCTGGTAACCACCATTACTCAAGTGGACAAGGATAAAGCAAACACCCGATTCAATGATGGGAAGGTGGATCCTGCAGGGAGGTATTTTGCAGGTATGCTGCAGTCTCTTTCTTTTCTCTGGTGCTTGCTGGTTTTGGTGATAAGATGCAGTGATCATTTGTAGATGCAGCAAGTTTTCCTTCATAGTTAAAGGGTGGGGATTTTTTTTTTGTTTTGTTTTCTTCAAACAGAGCTTAAATCCGTGTACAAATTTGTTTATATCACCTGGGCACTATCTAATCTGGACTGTTTTGTTAAAAAGAGGCTGACTACACCGAGCCTGCCTAGTTTAAGATACTGGCCTTGCCTCTTTCCTGTCAGCTGCTTGTTTTGATTACTGGAAGGGTGCCAATAGAAAATACTTTTCCAGTGGGAAATTTATTATATTGTGTGGTTTGTTCTCTGTAACTCAGAATATTATTTCTAAAAACTAAGGGACTATTCATCCTGGAGATGAGAAGGCTCAGGGGATCCCACCTGTGTGTATGAGTACCTGACTGAGGAGGGAGTAAAAGAGATGGAGGCCAGGCTCTGCTCAGTAATGCCCACTGAAAGAGCAGGAGTGGGCACAAACTGAAACTCAGCCAATTTCGTATGAACATAAGAAAACTCTTTTACTGAGGATGAGCAGACAGTGGAACAGGTTGTCCAGAGAGAGTATGGAGTCTTCATCCATGGAGCTCTTCAATGCTCAGCACTGGTGGGAGGAAACCCCACCTCTGAGCAGGGGGTGATCCTGGGTGATGTCCAGAGGTGCCCTCCAGCCTCAGCTGTGATGCTGTCCTCCTGATTTTTGAAACACCATTCTGTGCTTTGCTGTGTTGTTCAGTCCAGAGACCTAACTTAACCTGCATTTACCCAGCCTCTCAAGAGCCAGTCTCAGCTGCCAACTTCAACGTGTAAAGATGAGATTTGCTTTAAAAGAGGCTTTAGTGTAAGACTCATTCTGAGGGAGGAGGTAATTTTTTTCCACTCTCTCAGCTCTACAAGGCATTAAGATTTATTGTAAGTTAAATGCTGGCCACACCTGTCTTAATATATGAGTGACTGAATAAAATATTTTGCAGGAATCACGCTGCACACCATTTCTCCTGCAGAAATGTTCAACAAAAGAACAAAGGCCGTGTTTTGCCACCTTCTGCAAAAAGCAAGCACTTTGGAAGTCTTTTCTTTTAACTCAGTTTCTTCCTCAAATTTCAGAAGCCCCCCCGCTTCTGCGCTGGCAGTGTGATCACCGTTGCAGTGAGAGGCTGCCCCCAAAGCTGGAGGAGAGCCCATTTGCTCTGAACTGCTTTTTCCCCTTTGGCTCTGCACAGGTACAATGGCAGAGGAGATTCGTCCTGCCGTGCTGGAGAGACGCCAGGGCTCCCTGTACACGCTCTTCCCCGACCTCTCAGTGGTGAAGCACTTTGACCAGGTGGACATTTCCAATGGGCTGGACTGGTCGCTGGATCACAGAACCTTCTTTTACATTGACAGCCTCTCCTACTCGGTGGATGCCTTTGATTATGACCTCCAAAGTGGAAAAATCGGTATGAATGGTTGTATTCTAAAGCAATTGTTTGTGCCTAAAGATTGTGGTGTTTGTTTCTGCTCTGGTTATTACACAGAGATGATCAGAGCTTTGGGGGATGAAGAGAAGCCACATTAACCTCTGTCTGTGCCTGCGTAGGCTCCTGGCTCAAACCAGTCAGGGTCGTTTGGTAATGCTGTAAACTATTTAAATTGGCAGTTTGAGTAGTAATCTCTACTACTGTTACTAAACACAAGGCGTATCTGATCTTGCAGTAAAAAGGACAAAGTGTATCTCATCTGTCTCTTCCTGTGGCTGCGTGTTTCTTGTTGCTGGCAGCACAGACAAAGTGACAGCAGCTTGTAGTCTTCCACAAAACCTCTGCCAGCTTCTCTAGATATTTTTTCGCTCTTCACCCTGTTTTGTTTTTTAAATACAAGCAATACTAAAGGAAGATTCTGCAGAAAGAGCAAGGCAACAATGGTAGCAGAAACTCAAAGCTTCCTTAGTTAATTTAAAACACAACAAAGCCTTAAGGGCTTCTACAAGCTTGGGCAAAAGAAAAATTCCGGTGACTTGGACTAGTAATTTGATTTTGAGTACATGGGCTGCAGTATTTTGCTTTAAAAGAGCCCAGCCAATTTGATGTTTAGTTTTAAAACTCTGAATTTAAAGTAATTTTGGATGTAGCACCTTGTCCTAATGTCTCTCTGCTTTGACTTACAACTGAATTTTTCACTAGGAAATAGGGTACTTTTCTCTCTCACTCATTCTTGCTCGCTCTTTCTGTGGGCAGTCTGACAATCCCCAGCAGCAAAAAGGAAACTCATTAAAAATATTGCTGCATATGAGAAACATTGAAGTTGTCAGAGCATAAAATAAATAATGTTGGAAAGTTGGGTTGAATTTTCTTTACTAAGAGTGGATAAAAGTTCAGATAGAGTTGTTTGTTTTTTGGTCAATAGCATGCCTTTGAAATTGATGCTTTACCCCTGAACTCTGTGTTTATGTAAGTGCTCTGTTTACAGACCTGAAGGTCAGTTTTGTGTTGAAACAGTGATTATTGGCACGTTCCAGCAAACAGTTTGAAAAGTCTCCAACTGGAGCAACCCATACTTGAAATGATTCAAACTGCTTTTAAAACAAGTAATTAATTTTATTAATATATCTAACATTTATTTATTCAGTTATTAATTTAATATTGTAAGTAGGGAGCATTAGTGGTGCACTAGAAAATGAATGCCAGAAAGGATTATACTTTCAATGGATAGAAACTGGTCCACAGGCTTTCATGCTGAGAAACAACTGTCTCGGGGAAACAAACAGGGCAGCAGACACAATCTGTTTCTTTCATGGGAAAAAAACTCAGGGCCTCAGCACAGCTTTTGAAAATAATAGTACAAATAACTCTGCTGGGCTGTGACTGATAAAAATTTTAACAACTGTCTCACTCAGTTCTGTGGTTTTTTAACGCTGCAGGCAACCGTAGGAGTATATACAAACTGGAAAAAGAGGAGAGCATTCCTGATGGGATGTGCATTGACACAGAAGGCAAACTCTGGGTGGCTTGTTATGATGGTGGGAGAGTGATTCGCATTGACCCTGAGACAGGTGAGTCCTTACAAAAGTGGACTGGAATTTTGTGTCAAACAAAACAAAACAAAAGAAGAAATAAAAACATGGAATGAGGGGTGCGGTTTTTCTCACCTCACAGAAATGGTGTATCTTTTTCTTTCTGTGCTCTTTCTTTCTTTCTTTCTTTCTTTCTTAATTGTTATTTCAAACAATTTAATGTTCCTGCTCTCAAAAATTACCTTTGTAAATAAGTCTCCTTTGCTCCCAGCATCTGTTCACATGACATAATCATGTTGGAAAAGATAAAGTTGCTAAGGAGACCATCATTCTGCTTGTGAATTGTTTGAGTTAGCATCCTCTTGCATCCTCCAAAATTAAGACCAGTGTTTATCCCATTGATAAATGGGAAAGATGACTTAAAACCATTTTTGAGTCTTGTTTCTTCAGCTTAGTGTTTTATTTTGGGCAGCCTGCTGGATTTTATTACAAGTCCCATGGCACACTGATGCCAGCAACATCTTTTTTATTGTTGGAAGTTACTTGCATGATCAATTTTGCAATTAAATAATTAAAAAATGTTTAATGAATTCCACAGGATTTTATCATTCCCACAGTAATGTCTTGGGTGTGCCCATTGTCTGAGTCTGTTGTTCATTGCTGCTCTCATTTGGACTCTAGTGATGTGCCAGGGATGATTTACTCTGGGTGGAAAACACATGTAAAGCACTTAAGGGAAGCTGAACCGCACTGGCTGCAAGGGGCCGCTGGGTGAGAATGAGAGCATGATTTTGTCAGATCCCAGACAGCACGAGTTTGCATCATGTAGCAGAAGAGCAACTGCACTGGGATACATCTGGAGCCTAGCAGAAGGCTTGGGGTTTTGTGGGACTGTGGATTCAGGGGCGCCAGTGCCTTGTGTGCAGCACGTAGCAGACCCTGGCACACGTGCACCAGCCTTGCTTCTGGCTCTGCTGGAAACCTCTGCCATTTCTGAGTCTTGTTTCTTCAGCTTAGTGTATTATTTTGGGCAGCCTACTGGATTTTATTACAAGTCCCACAGGACACTGTTGCTTTCCCCCTCACCTTTTGATCTTTTGCCCATCCAAAATCTTGCCAACCTGTAGAACTTCTCCAGTTCTGCAGGGTCTGCACCCCAGCCCTAGGAGAAGGAAGCTCCAGTTGGGAGATGCCAGCAATGCTGGGACTTGTTTCTGGACCCACATCCTCTCACTCTGGTGGGCAGAGCAACCCTTGGTGACATCCACCAGCCCTCTGAATACCCTCCTGGGGTAGTAGGTTCAATAATTTTTCCTCTGTGGTTCGCTGTTTCTACCTTTTTCCTGCCTGACTTTTTTTTTTCTCCCTGACCTTTTTTTTTTCCTTTATTTTTTCACTTATTTTCCTTTTCCTTCTCCCTTTGGAGGTGTTTTCACATGGGAAAGCTAGAAGCAATAGTGTCCATAAGCAGATGTGTAGGGATAGCAAGAACATTGATGGCAGAGTACATATCCCTAATGCACTCCCAGTCTTTAACTGTGCTCACAGATGGATGAGGTAGTGATGTGTTGGTAGTGAATTTCTCAGTGTACTTCTCTTCCATGAACCTGTTCTGTCTCCCCCTCACCCATGTCATAGCACCTGCAGAGAACAGTGTTGTGAAGTTTCATAGGGTAAGTGTCCATGTCGAAAAGAGCCACCTTTTTTTGTCAATATCTCATGCTTACCTGCCCTCTCGTGCTATCATTTTGAAGTAATATCTAAAATCTGAAATTTGTTGAATTCTGAATGGATTGTAATTGCTTAGGGAGATAAACCAGTCAGGTTTAAAGAGAATTCTATGAGAGCCTCTTTAAATGCACAATAGCCATTAAGGGTGGCTTGAATGGCTGTCAGCCAGTTGCAGATACATCCACCAATAAGGGCTCATCTCAACCACGTGAGGGATTTTCAGGTTTCAATGATAACCAAGCCTGGACTTTGTTTTTAGGGCAATGGGACCAGGAAACTTGTTTGTTTGGCGTCTTTCCTGAGTGGAGGTTTTGAGGTTCAGGATGAAGCAGCTTTTCAGGTTTAGGCTTCTTTAGCAGAGATGGTTGCTGCCTTTAGATTGAGGATGTGTGACAGGGAAAGGCTGATGGCTGATCCCATGGGGTTTGCAAAGGACTCAAGGGGTGTCCAGCGTACATGCTACCGAGTCTTGTCACAGCTTCTGGTCACCTAGTGACCTGCTAGTTTTATTCTTTAAATTGGAATCCTAGAACCATTAAAGCTGGAAAAGACCTCCAAGATAACGGAGTCAAACCATCAGCCAGCACTGCCAAGTCCACCCCTAAACCATGACTTTAAGTACCACATCTACATAGTTTTTAAATATTTCCAGGAATGATGATCCCACCACTTCCCTGGACAGCCTGTTCCAATGCTTGACAACCCTTTCAGTGAAAAAAGTTTTCCTACTGTCCAATCTAAACTGCCATTAAAATTTTATAGTTCTTCCTAATGATTAGTTTTAATATCCTTTGATTTTTATAGTGTCAAAAAGATTTGCTACATTTGTCTCTTCTATAGAGACCAAGCACAGAGTAATACTCCAGAAAAAGTGTAGAGGATCCAGGTGCAGATTTTCTTGAACCTCCAGGGAGACACCTCAGAGCTTTGTAAATGATATCTTTCAGGCTGTTATCCACTGAGAGCACTCTACCAGTGCAACCAGGTCCTATCCCCTTGTCTTTGGGGCTCATGCCTCTTTTCCTACAGTCTGTGTTTTTTCCTTTTGTATGCCCTTCCGAATTCCTTCCTCCCAGACTTGGTGTCAGTCAATTTCTAGAGTTCCCAGCACTGAAGTTACTTTCCTGCTATTTCAACACATCACTAAAGTTAGGTGCTGTAAGGGGGACCAAGCCCTTTGCACATGGAATTGGGAGAACAGAGAAGTAAACACATTTTGTAAGGAAATTCATGTGCATATTTCTAGAAAGAGAAATTCACTTGTAGGTACATAAGATAAGCATAATGGGAATAGGCTGTTGTTGCCCAGGATTAGCAGAAATTTTGGAAAAATCTGCTGCAAGATGTCTCCACAGCCTTCTGGTTAGGGCTAAAGGCGATCTGTTCACTACCATCATTAAGACTGTCGTTATTTGTTGGCATAATAAATGTAGTATTATTTATGGTAGCGTTAGGTTTTTTATAAACATTTCACATGTCCCGTGATCCGTATTTTATGCAAGCTTGATTTGAAAGACTGGTGAAATTTCAGGAAAAACTTCTAGGAATTAATCTTCCTTAACCGCAGGCAGTAGAGGTGTAGCAGGAGGTACGCCTCCGTAACGCCACACGAGGTCTGCTCGCTCCAGGCTGCCTTTGTAGTTAAAAGTAGAAAAGTCAGCAGGTCTAGGGCGTGATTCATGTGACCTGTTTTAGAGAGGAATTCTATTCCATTTCTATTGACTCCATGGACAGCTTAGATGATGAGCTCAGATACGTGTTTGTGCTGTGGATGTTAGCATTTAATTAGAGGACAAGCTGGGATTGAAGTGGGATTTGTTGGTGATACCTGAAACTGAAACTTGCCAAATGATACATCATCAGCAACAGGGTTCACAGAAGTCTGGTTTCTCCCTGTCATGGTGCTCATCAGTCAGGATGGGACCTCCCCTAGACATGGTACCCACTTTTGCAGAGCATCTAGCTCTACGATGGTTATTTGCGATAATTTATTTAAATTTCTTGTTCTAAGTTGACAAACAGGGAACATCATGCATGTTTTCCTCCAGGAAAAAGACTCCAGACTGTGAAACTTCCCGTAGACAAAACAACTTCCTGCTGTTTTGGAGGAAAGGATTATTCAGAAATGTTTGTGACTTCTGCTAGTGATGGGATGGATAAAGAGTGGCTTTCACGGCAACCGCAGGCTGGTGGGATTTTCAAGGTGAATGATACTTTCTAATTGCATTTTAGAAGACTATTGTTTCACTCCTGATTTTTTCAGGTAGCAGAACTCCAGCTGGCAGTGGTGGGAAGCTGGAAAAAGTTGTTAGAATGTTGGTCATGTTTGTTAAGCTGTTGTTTGTATTTTTTGTTCCTCTTGCAGAAAGTTAAATGCATTTAGAGATTTGAAGATATTTTGGGGTTTAAACTTTGTACTAATGTTGATAGTGCAAATTTTCTGTGCAATCATCTCTTTATACTTCTCCCTTTCCCAACACTGTTTGCATTTTCTATTTATGAAAAGGATGGGTAAATACTTACATGTCTTAATCAGTGGCAGATAAAAGCATCTGCTTTTATTTACTTTCTAGTTAATTATCACGAAGTTATCTCTTTAAAAAATTGTTCCACCAGGATTTGTTTTAAAGCCCTGCTCTTTGTGTGTGCATGCCGAAGGTTACATTGTGAACTGCAGAATTAAGGCTTAGCAGTATCTAAGAGAAGAGGCTTTTGGGGAATGAACTCTGGCCTGTGATTACTGAGCTTTAGAGAAAGAGCATGCATTGAAATTCCAGTCTGTGATGAGCTGATGTGTGCAAAATATGGTAGGATGTCAAGCTGGAGGACGCAGTCCTTTTCTAAGTTAAAGCATGTCTAGTTATGTAAGGAAACCAAGGGTCTAATAATGGTGAATTATCACTCTAATTTTTTTTTCTCTCTGTGTTTTAACAGATAACAGGACTGGGGGTGAAAGGAGTCCCACCGTATCCATTTGCAGGTTAAATACATTCCTCAGAATGGATTGGAGAGGGCTGATGTAAGCGACACAAGTCGGAAGGTCTTATCCTGGTGTTCAGCATCTTTTGCTTGGAAACCATGACACCATTATAATATTTCATCAGGAAAGGATGAAAAACTACTGAAATACATGGAATATTTTAAAACTGATCTTTTTTCTCCCTTTAAACTTACTTTTAATACATGATGATGCTTTTTCTCCTGTGCTAAAAAGATTCTCATCCTAATAAGCTACTGTTGTAATTATATTTTATGATTAAATAATATTTTAATATAGTTTTATTGAGTATTCTTCTGTCTCATTTGCAACTTATGCTATATTGTTTTACTGATTAAACTAGTTGTACTGTCTCTTTTACATATTTTCAAAGTTCCTCATAAAATGCCCTTTTAACTGTAACTCTGTTTGTCCTATGATGTTCTCAACAACTGAAACATTAATACCTCTCACTGCATTTGCAGCATCCTTCTGACAGGTCTCACCTGTGGCTGTGCTTAAATTAACTTTGGCTGAAACTTATCACTCTCTCCCTCGTGCCTGTTACCATGTTGCTCATTTTGTTAAATATAAACCCAAAATTTTGGAGTCAAGAGCCATGTCCTTTTCTATCCTTTGAAGATCTTGGCCTGTTCTGAGGACATCCATGATGACAGGAAAACACTGGGCGTTCTTGGCCATTTGTGCATAAAGCACAGCCTGCACCTACCTCCTCCAGAACCAACCTCCCCCAGAGCACAGAGAGGCAAGGCAGGCCAATATGGCCAAAAAGCCACTGCTTTTACAAATGTGAAGGGAAGATCTATTGCAATTTCTTCACACCACCTGTTGTGAATGAAAGCTTACTCATGGGATTGCATTTTTGCTTTTAACTTCAGGCCTGTTATCTGCTGCAACAACTGTGATGTATCTCAGTTGGATTTTACACTGCAGAATTTTGCTCTTGGAATGTTACATGTTCCCCTGTTAGTACACATACACCTGCAGGTGGAATAGCTGTGTGTCTCCATCCTGCTGTGTGAGGGTAACCCACCAAGTGACTGCCTGTGGCAGTGCATTTTCTCTCCAGGTAGCTCCAAGAGTCAGCACATAATGGTTTGCCATTTCTGCAGTTGGTTTGTGATGGATCATCTTGTGTTGGCTGTGCCCTCGAGTGTGCAGTGGGTGACTCAGCTGCCCACCAAGGCCTCGGTGCTGCTTTGATCCTAGGGTTCAGATTATTTTGTGCACATCACTGTTTTTCCTCTTTAAATCATACAGGGATCTGTCTTGGCAGCTGGGAAAAAAAAAAAAAAAAAAAAAAAAGGAGATTTAAGCAGCCCCACTTCAGTGTGGATGAGCGTGAGGCAATGAAGGAAGCTGGGCCTTGTTCTTTGGACTGTCCACATCCTTCATTTATTTTCTGCTACAAGGCAATCTAAAGGCGCAATCTAAAATCTACTCAAGGCACAGTATTGAGAAAGCTTGAGTTGAGGGAGATGGTGAATGTGGCAAATTTAGGGCTCTGATCTCACTAAAGTCACAAACCTGGTGATACCTGCAGCTCTGGAACCATGCTGTTGGGCTGCTGTGGTTGATCATTAATGGAGATCCAGAGATGCAGCAGAAAATAAGTGGGCATAAGCACAGATAAGCCCCCTCTGCCATTGCTGTGGAGGTGTTGTACCTGTGCTCACCCTCAAACCACCTGGCAGTAGGGTGATTGCCAGAACAACACAAAAAAACAGGCCAATCTTTTTTATGTTGTTGCTGCATTAGAAAAGTGAGAGCAATAGCTTGTACAGGCATGAAAAATTGGGTCAAAGATTAGTTTATCAGAGTTAGTCAGGAGGCACCCATGAGACACAGGGAGGAGGACAGGGCTGCTGGAGCCCCTCTTTCTCCATGCTGTGCATGGGTGGCACTGGGCAGATGTCTGAATAACACGCTTCTTTGTGCTTTGGGAGTGTGAGAGCAGAGGCAGGTAAAGCAAGCTGCTGCAGACATTTTACAAATGAATACCACCTCCCCCTTCAGTAAAAGCACCTACTTGGCTTTGCTGCACAGGTTTCTTGGGCTTCACATGAGCAGGAAGAGCCAACTCTGCCAGGAGAGTTGTGTTTTTAATACTGCCAAAATGCCCTGGGAGCGCGTCTCAGCGCAGCCTGCGGTGCAGAGGCTGGAGCTGCTTCCAGCCCCGGGAGCCCAAACTGGTGCTGCCGGCGTATTTTCACTCGAGTCCCATGACAGAGTGCCGGATCTGGCAAACTGGAGCTGAGCCGTTGCCGGTTCCCTCAATTAGGAAGGCTTCCTGACTTTTGTTTAATCCCTTGCTTATTAATGGCGCTCACCTCTTTGATCACAGATCAGCACTGATTTCAATTAGGGTTGAGCAAGAGCCCAGTGACAGGAAAGGCTGTATCAGGAGGAGCAGCTGCTGAGCCCTGAAGGGTTTCTTCACCCTCATGACCAAAATCTATAGTCATAGATGAAGCGTAGTTGTTCGCAACCAAGCTGGAGAAAGCTCTTGTAATCCTTTGCTGGCAAAATAGCTCTGCTGAAATAAAAGCAGGCGGCACTGACTGCCTGGGGAGCTCCAGTTCTTCCCATCTCGAGCACAAGGGAGGGACCAGGCCCTTCCTACAAAAGGGTGAAGCCAGGAAAAGATAAGCTTTGGCTTCACTTTTGGACCACGCTATCAAGTGGGATATCACTGGGGTGAGTAGCTATACCTGTACCTGCTCGGGGTTTTTAATGCCAGTGTCTTTGTTAACTCTGCCTGTTAGAGGGAGACTTCTCCCTCCGAGAGCTGCAAAGGTGCATAAAAACTTTTAAGAGATTAGGACAACCAAATAACAAGCAAAGTTGAGTTTCTAGAGCGATGAATGATGGGATGGACCCTCAAGGGGAATAAGTAACACAAGTATATTTTGGAGAGTTATGGGGAAAAAAAGGGAAGTGATGGATTTACTAAATGTTTGCAAAGCCACAAGAACAAATTCTGAGCTGTTGTCTGAGCACATGCCTGTGGGGAACAGAAGACAATTACAATTATTTAAATACCACATTATGTGGTGCGATAATGCCTTGATATTCTCCTGATTACTCTATGTTGATAAAAAGTAGGGACTACAAAAAGCAGCGGGTGAGAATTGCACCAGAGGACAGCAAAGCAGTGGGAAAGGAGAGAGGAAACCACACCAGAAGGAGACAAGTGGCTGGGTGTCAGCCAGGGGTACAGGGGCGCGTGGCTGCCTTTGGCCACTAGAAACTTCTGCTTTGCAACCCAGCAACACTGGAAACAAAGTGCATGGCAGGGCCAGGCTCTTTATGTTGTGGAAACAATTAATAGAAAAGCTGGCTGGCTAGCAAATACACACACCTGCTACTGCAGAGCTGCACCACTCATCAACAACACCACAAAACCTTTGAGAGGTGTCTCTTCCTAAAGTGACTGACTTCTGGAAAGGCAGATGTGGGATGTTGAAATGGCAGAGTGGGAGATGTGGTAATTGTGTTGGTAGCCTAGAAGTGGTCAGGGTAGGTATAAGAAATGGTGCAAAGTGTGGCAGGGGCATCCCCAGAGCATTTGCAGCCACGTAAATAAATTAGAGAGACGTGTTCTGGCATAATTTTCTCAGCTGCTGTTCTTCCTGTGCCACCGCTGATCCAGCATCCAAGCTGCTCACCCAGCAAGCTGCACATTTGGTGTTTTCATTTGCAGCAAGGTGAATCCTTTGTCCCTCTGCCTCACTTGGTTTTATGTTGCTGCAGCCTGCGATGGCGAACTTGGGTCACCAGAAGTGAAAAGCTGTGTGGAAAATGTGGTTTTCTCTTCCAAAATCCATTTAGAGAAAATGCTTTGGGAAATATTTTGCAGAAAACAAGATAACTTATATTTCTCAGGCTTTTTTTTTTTTCAGATGAAAATTAATTTTCAGTGAAAATTATCATAATCCAGAATTTTCCTTTTGAATACGTCTCTGAAAATGCTGTGAAAAACATGCATATTGTTCTACTTGAACCTCCCTTCAAAGTTATCATCTAGGTTATGAAAAAGAAAGCAGAGAGTAACATAATATTTTTTCTGAGAGCAAGCAGAGACTGAGGGTTTGTGCCAAGATGAGATGGAGCCATTGGAGGCCAAGGAAATCTCAGAAGGGTCCTCAAGGCACCCAGAATCACGTTGTCTGTAATACAGTGATTTTGGAAGGAGTTTGACTTGGAAATATATCTGGCTTTTTCCCTAGTAATGTTTGAATTTGTCTATATCTTAGGGCTGTCATTTTTTAATCTCTTGAGTGTGGATTGATGGTGACTATGGTAGGATAATACATCTATCTTGTCTACTTGCTTATCAGGGAAGCATGTTCATCCTGTGAATCATTTGAACATCAAATTACAAAGTTCATTCAAGTCTTTCATGAATAAAGAAATACATTGTTCTTCCATGCTGGATTGGGGCCAATTTCTCCCAAGTGGCTTCTGCCCTTGCTGAGTGTGGCCCTGTCACCAGAACTCTGGTGGTCACTCTGGTCTCTGCCCAGCTTGGTCTCTGTCCCCATGGCAAGCCTGCCTTGTCCCCACCTTGCTGGCCCTGCCATCACCTTCCTCTGCTGAGCAGGGCTGGTGGGAGAAGGCACCTGGCATCTTCCACCTTTGCCTCCCACAGACAAAAAAAGAAGGCAAACGCCCAAGAAGGAAGAAAATAAAAGCCAGGCAAGACACCCCCATCCTGCAGCATCCGTGGTAATTGCTGAAACTGCCAGGTAAAAGTCCTTCCCTTTGTGGGCTACAGGCAGCAGCTTGGAGCTTTTTGCCAAAGTGGGATCAGGCTTTGCATGCTCCAGGTGAGGAGCCCTGTGACTTCACACACAAGAAGGTTGTGGCACAGCTGGGAGTAGGAGCCAAGTCTTAAAGACAATAATAAGCCTTAATCACAACAATATTGTTTCGCTTATCGGAGTACTACAAAACCCTCCCTCGCATCTTTCATTAACCTTCCCTTTTCAGCACCCTAAATTTTGGAAGACTGGGCTAGCCCTTGGGCAACTGAATGGTGCAATGCCTCAGTTTCCCTCTCGCGCTCTCCTGACATGAGAAAAATACTGAGCAAGGATTTTTCTCTATCACATGTCCTGCTGCTGGCACTGCAAACCAGACCATTCAGAAAGGCTTTGGTCCCTGCCTCATCATTCATGTGACTGCTGACTGAATACAAAATGTAAAGGGTTACCTGCTCCATGCAGATAACATCAACTGGTGCACATTTTTAACCGTGCTGAAAACAGCAGCCAGTTTCATTGGACCAGTGCTGGAAAAGAGTCACCAAGCCAGGTCTTGCACTATTTTCCTCAGCAGG